AGATGGGTCAAGGAATTTGAACCTGTGTCACCTCTGGGAGGGTAAACACTGGGAGATGTTTGCCCCCAGGGAAGACTCAGGGGAAGCTCAGGAAACTATCTTCAAAGATCTGAAGGGCTCTGGGGCCCGACACTTAGCAGAGCAGTTCCTTGGTAAATGTCTCTCGGATGTTTTGTTCTGTGAGATTTCATCGGATCCCAAAAGTATGGATGGTGAGTCAAAGCAACAAGGAAAAGCTTCCAGCTCAATATAGGTTAAATATTTTAAATGTTGTTGTCCAAAGCAGTAATTCATAACCTTTAGCCCACTGGGACTCAGCTGAGGGACAGCACCTTCCCATTAGCATACCTGGGGTGCTGGACCCTTGCCGTACATTGGCCACCACTCTGTCTTTTGACCTATTCCAGAAGGCATATTACAGTGAGTGCATGGTGGTGCTTGTGATAACCTTGAGTCTACTCTAATTTATTAATATTTGAGGTGGGCTTTTTTCCCCCAAGTAAATAATTTACAAACTAAGCTATGTGCAGTATCCCTCACACCTTGTATAGACACCTGTGTGTTCTAGCACTGTGGTGGGAGTCATTTGTTCAGAGATGGAACTAGCTACCTTTAGAGAGCAAACAAAGGTGAGGTGTTATAAGACATGTGGCTCAAATAGGTAGGCACAGAATTGTCCAGATGGGAGGTAGTATGGACTTGAACCTGGTTAGGAGCAGTGGTGGTAGAGAGGAATGAATCAGGTAGAGAGATGCTTTGGTTCGATAGAACTTAATATTGATTGGATAATAGTGTTGGGGTGGGGGGTGGCATAGGGCGAAGCCTAAGACTCCTTCCAGGTTTCTGACTTGAGCAGCTGGCTGGGTGATGACTCCATTCCTTGAGCCAGGAGATAAGGGGGTGAGGGGAGCAAGGGAACAAGTTTGAAGATGAGGGGAAGGGTGAAAGAAATCTGAGTTGGAGATAGTGATTTGGGAAACATTTACACATAAGTGATAGTTAAAGCCTGAGCATGGGAGAGTTTGTTCTCAAGTAACTTAAATGCGGGAAGGGTGCAGTCTCCACCTTGATGTTCAGATTTTTAAAAAGACACAACTCATGACCAAATTCAGCTGCCATTTTGCGACTCTGATTAAGGGAATAGTCCAAAGCAGGGGTTGCCAACTATGACCCTCCAGCCAAGTCTGACTGTTTTTGTACTGCCTGTGAGCTAAGAATGTTTTTTACATTTTTAAATGGTTGGAAAAAAAACAAAAGAACAATATTTTATGACAATGAAAATGATATGAAACTCATATTTCCAGTGTCATAAATAAAGTTTTGTTGGAACACAGCCACACTCATTCGTTTATATATTATCTATAGCCGCTTTTGCCCTACAAGTGCGCAGTTGTCATTACAACAACTGTATGGCCAGCAAAGCCTAAAATATTTACTATCTGGCCCTTTACAGAAAAAGTTTCCTGACCTCTGATCAAGAGTATGAGAAGACCACAGAGAAAGAAAGAAAGGCAGAGGTGAAGAGTTAGCTGGAGTGGGTCTCAGCAGGTCTCACAAAAACAGAGGGGAAGCGAATGGCCAGTAGTGTTAGAAGTTGCAGAAAAGTCCAAGAAGAAAAGGTCCAATGAGTGCCCGTTAGACTGGCAATGACGACCACTAGTGATTTAATGAGGAAAGGAGTTGCCAGGGAGATGTTTATGGCAAAAGCCAGTGTGCGTTGAGTTTGAGGAGTGAGTGGAAGGTAAAGAAACGGAGACAGTGCTTAGAGGTTACTGAAATTGTTCAGTGCACATCAGCCATTCTGTGTGTCATCAGTCTTTGAGATTTTTTGCATTGCATTGTAACTGATTATTATTCACCAAGAAATTTTCAGTCTGGTGGCGTAGCGGTTAAGTTCGCACGTTCTGCTTCGGCAGCCCGGGGTTTGCTGCTTCGGATCCCGGGTGTGGACGGACGTGGCACCACTTGGCAACCCATGCTATCGTAGGCGTCCCATGTATAAAGTAGAGGAAGATGGGCACGGATCATAGCTCAGGGCCAGTCTTCCTCAGCAAAAAGAGGAGGATTGGCAACGGATGTTAGCTCAGGGCTAATCTTCCTCAGCAAAAAGAGGAGGATTGGCAGTAGTTAGCTCAGGGCTAATCTTCCTCCAAAAAAAATGAAAGAAAGAAATTTTCAGTCTAAAATAGTCTTTTCTAGGGCTTATTTATATTTTAACTACTACGTTTAAAATATTTCTAGATTTTTTTTTAAATGTTTGGTACCATCAAGGTATTTAAAGAAAACACTTTGTATTGGTCCTGCCTGTTTCAGAATTTTCTTAAAGAATATTTTTACCTGAAAAAGTAGCGTCTTGAAGTTTTTCAGAAATAGAGGCAATTAGAAGTTCAAACAATAAGATAAGAATGGTATAAGATAACGGCAACAGGGAAGGGGAAAAGATTCCATCATTAGAGGAAAAAATGGTTTTTGGAAGTAAATGAATGGAAATTAGAAAAGAGGATACCCAGCATTTTTCACATTATCTTTTTTCCCTTTGATACAAAGATCATGTTTAAGGCCACAGACCTTTTCTATGGAAAATAAGAAACTATACCCTTATTTTGAGCAGCTCATCTTTAGAAATATTTGCACTATAACCTACAAATCGTTATGGTTCAGGAGAGAAAAGAGGGGGCCTGAAAAGTAATTCATACTTAATCCTAGTTTCCTTCTCCTCTGTTACCGTCTAACATTCTAGAACATGGCATGGTGCACACACTGATTCTGATGCTTTAATTGGACCTTGGAAGCAGGTTGGATTGGGCCTCCTGTCTAACAGCTGTATTGCTCTCCTGTTAGTGTCTAGAGTTGTGATTGGCTTTTAAATGCCTAAAATTTTTGAATTCACAGAAAGGTGTAATCAAAAATAGAATGAGGATTCATTCAAGTCCTGAAACACAGTTCGTTCCCAGCATGTACTGCAGGCTTTTTCTGACCTTATCCTGGAGTTTTGAATGACCAGTCTCCCAGGCTAGAGCACCGTATTGGAGGGAGAGTGGTCAAGAGGTGGTCCCATTTTATAATAACCGTTATTATTTCTGGTCCATTCTGTCTCTGATGTGCGGTTGGGAAAATGCCCTGAGGAGCTTTAGCTGGGAATCTTGCGCAGTATATGATACCCACCAGATTTCTTTGGTTGTGCTGTGCATGTCATAAAGTTAGTCAAAGTGGTGTTCAGACCTCAGTCCTATAGGCTGTCCAAACCGTGTGTTATTCTAGTTTAGGGAAATGAGTCAAGACATGTAACAGACCTGGTTGACTTAAAGCGAAGATTCTAGCCCTTTTATACAAGGACAGCTTCGCTTCTCAGAAGCATAGCTTCTTCCATCCTGAAAGCTAGTTGGGAAAAATCCTCCCAGCCTTTGCCAGTTACTTGTTTATTCTCATAATAAGAGGAAAAGAAATTGGGAATGCCATATGGTGCAGAATCTTCCAGGCATAGATAGAAAATGAATCATTAAATAATTCATCTTTATTCATTTATTTATCAGTTATTTATCTATCAGCTGTTATAGGTCATGCAGAGGGTACTATATAAATATTAGATAATGACCAGTTAGTTTTCTTAAGCCACACATTTATTCTGCTCATCGGATTATGGATCCTCTCACCTCCTTTCCTTCCTGGAAGGCCCAGGGGTTGCCTTGAAGTTACTTCAGGCTTCTACTGTTTTCTCCTCTTACTAGCGGTACTTACCAATGTCCAGTGGGTATGCATTGGGCCCCCTGATTTCTGATGATGTCTCTCTCTCCTCATAAAGGAGCCAATTCAAAGACTTGCTGGCCCAGCATCATTTCAGCAGTCAGAGCAGTACTGCCACCAGCACTGGCCCTAACGTTACTCTAGATGTCAGGGATTTTGGCTTCAGAATCATTTGAATTCTCAGGTGCAATGATTATTTCTGTAAGACTGCCAGCCTCTATTCGCCAGCTAGATTTTCTTGGAAAGAGTGGCAGTCTTTTGGTAGGATGAAGCAAGGGAGGCGCAGATCCAGAACATTGTCTGTAGGGTTGAGCAGAAAGCCGAAGGGTCCTGCAGAGTGTAACTTCACAGTTGTCCCGTACGTTCCCATACTTCCTGTTTGCCATTTTAAAAAGTAAGGTAAAATATTAAATTATTTAAAGTAAATAGAAAAAGTAGCTACATTTTGAAATTTTTGTTTTAATAAAGAGTTGGAAAGAAACACAAGGTACACTTAAAAAAACTTTTTTTTTGACAGAAGCGAAAAGGTTTATAACTTTTTAATATTTACAGAGTGCTAAGCAAGAGTCTTTGAGTTCAGGTGGCTGTAGAAACCAACAAGTTGATTTCGTGGTTCTCCAGGCCTGGGGTTCCCTGTAGGAGTCTACTCTGTGTCATGCTCTAAGAAAAAAAGATGAAAATTGGGTCCCTGTCTTGAGGGACTTATGGCCTGGTGAGGGAGAGAGGCCTGTAAATGGAGACTTTCAGTACAATATGGTAACCAGAGATGGACAGCCTGTTCCAGGAGCCCAGATGAAAGGTGCCTAGCGTACCTAGACCAGGGCCTTTGGGAAGTTTCCCAGAGGTAGATCTTTAAGAATGTGGATGAAAGGAAAGGGCCTTTGGGCTGAGAGCCTTGAACTTTTACCAAGACTTCGCCTGGGGCCCATATGTACGTTAGACCTACCAGGCAGCCCTTCAGGGAATTCCTCTGTTGATTTAGGGGAGTGAATGATGATTGCTTCCCTCTCCCCCTAGTTAATGGACTATAATTCCATGGTATTGCTGTCTTTGAATCTTTGTCACCATCACTCCCCACTTCCACCCTACCTTGAGTAAACTGAAGATGCTGGGAATGTGGAAAGACCGTGTCCCTCAAGAATCAGATGAAAGACGAGTTGCCTTATTGGAATCGATCTCATGTAATGTTTCTTGATAATAATCTTTAGAAAAATGTATTTGCTCTCAAAGGCTGTTCCCCAATCTCTCTCTTTCAGTGCCCGAAGTGACGAAACCAAGTTTAAGCCAACCAACGGCCGCCAGCCCAATTGGCAGCTCTCCATCGCCACCAGTCAATGGTGGCAACAATGCCAAAAGGGTGGCAGTGCCGAACGGACAACCGCCAAGCGCCGCCCGCTACATGCCTCGGGAGGTGCCGCCGCGATTCCGTTGCCAGCAGGACCACAAAGTGTTACTAAAACGTGGGCAGCCCCCTCCACCGTCCTGCATGCTCCTCGGGGGCGGGGCAGGGCCTCCTCCCTCCACAGCACCTGGAGCAAACCCAAACAACGCACAAGTGACAGGAACGCTGCTGCAGAGTGAGAGTGGGACTGCGCCAGGTGAGGCACCATTGTCGGTGGATCGAGTTCATGGCAGCTTCGAAGAGGGATCGCAGCTCATTTGTATGTCTGGTGTAAAGTCCACAAAAAGTGTGAATTATGTAGACTCTTATGGTTATTCAAAAGATGGGAGAGGATCCCAATATAAAATGTGTATGTGCATTTCTCTTCTGCACCTGGGTTTTAGTGTCCAGTGAGTGTGTACTGTTGGCATGAGGGGCTCACATAGCTGCTGGGTATCATCACTCCTTGGAGCCTTTTTTCTCTTCACAGACAGGAACGGTACAAATTTGAGCCTCCGTAGTTCCAGCTCTCACCACAAGTGTGTGTTCAGAGGGTGCTTGGGAGTGGGGCTCGTGCCGTGCTTTGTTCTGAGTCTTAGATGCTCGTGTTTCTGCTCTCAGAACGCTAGGCATGTAGAGAGAATGGTCTTTTAGATTACTATAGAGAATCTTGGGAGGATACCAAATAATACCTTTTCATATAGTCTTTTATTAGATTTTCAAAATCAGTATTTCTTTAGAGGGTCCTGGATTTTGAACTTTACTAAAAACTCTATGTAGATACAAGGGATCTTGAGCTGAGGGGTTCTACTAGAAGTTTTGAGAGTTTTTAATAGAGGAATACTAAGTCAGTTAACAGCTAAGAACTTCCAGATACCTTTTTTTTTTAGCTTATTAACAGATTTCACGTTCTCTCTTAAAATGTTTTTTGAGGCTCTATTAAGATGCAGAGTTTCAACACTGTCAAGCATTGGTGAGGACAATGAATGGGTGGTTCTTAACAGTAGGATGCTTTATTCTAGTTCTAAGTTTGAACACAGAATTGCCTAGAAAATTCTGTTACTGCCTCGTGTGCAGAGTAGGGGTAGAAAGAGACCTGGTGATGACACAGGCTTCATATAGAGATAAGCCCCATCCGTGTGGCTTCCCTGTGGTGGCCGCCAGGCCAGGCCCAAAGCAGGCAGGGAAAGGTGTCGTGGCCCTTCCTTCCTGTCCCCTCGTAACCAGTTGCAAAAGGAAGTATGTGAGGGGCGGTTGGGTTGGGCATTTCTGCGGCTGAGTCTAGCCAGGCCTGGACGTAGACTTGGGTCCAGTGTGAGTCAGAATCTCCTGTTTACATTCTTAAAACCAAGGAGGCCCCTAAATCTCAGGAGTTTGAGATTGTATGCTTCCTTACTTTTATATGGCTCTATGTAATATTTTTTTCAACTTCATACTGATTTAAAACTGCGTGGTTAAAGGAGCTAAAGTAAGTTTAGAAGAAATTATTGGGTTAGAAACATGTCATTTTTTTCCCACCAAATATGGTAAATTCCACCAAAATATGTGCTGAGCCAGACTAATTTATCAGATTAAGTTCCTTGGGCATACAGACTGACTCATGCTTGTCTGCCCCTGGCTTCCAGCTGGGTGGGCATTCATCATTCAGCAGATGCTTACTGTGTAGCAGTGCCCTGGCCACTGTGTGGAATTGAAATGTTCGCAAGATAGGGCCTCTGCCTAAAAGGTGCTACGTGGGGAGGGAACATATGAACACACTATGCTAGCACCAAGCGAAATGGCTCTAGTGGAAAAAGTATTTTCGAATAATGAACTCAAAAAAGGCTTGAGGGGCTGGCCCGGTGACGCAGTGGTTAAGTTCGCACATTCCGTTTCTCGGTGGCCCAGGGTTCGTCAGTTCGGATCCGGGGTGTGGACATGGCACCTTGTGGCACGCCATGCTGTGGTAGGCATCCCACATATAAAGTAGAGGAAGATGGGCACGGACGTTAGCTCAGGGCCAGTCTTCCTCAGCAAAAAAGAGGAGGACTGGCAGTAGTTAGCTCAGGGCTAATCTTCCTCAAAAAAAAAAAAAAAAAAAAGGCTTGAAAGAAGAAATGGCATTTGAACTAGGCCCAGAAAAATGGGTAAATTTCAGTGTGTGAATTCAGGAGGAAAAAACAGTAGATGCCAATGTTCAATGGTGCCAGGGTGAGAAGGCACAGGCTGTGGAATATCAAGTAGTGTGGAATGTAGACATCTACCTAGAAAGTACTGGAAGATAAGACTAGAAAAGTCAGTTGGTTCCAGGTTGTGGAACATCTTGATCAAACTCCAGGCCAAAGAGTTTGGCTTTATTCTTGTGCACTGAGAAACTGTCAATGGTTTTCAGTATGACAGTGATATAATCAAAGGTGCGCTTCAGAAAAACTACTCCAGCCAGGAGTATTTAGTGTAAATTGGAGATACAGAGCAAGTTCAGGGTGTTATCGCATTGTCTCAAGATACAAGAAGACCCTTCTCTGGCAATAGGAAGACAAGGGGATAGCTGTGAGAGATGCTATGGAGTTAAGACAGCAAATACACCAGCGAGGCAAAATGAAAGCCGAGAGATGACTGAGACAGACGTAATGCAGGTAACCAAGACAGGCAAGTGGGTAGAGAAGCTAGTTTGTAGGGAAATGTGATGAGCTCTCTTAGGGGCAGTTTGAACTTGAGATGTTAATAGATCGTGCATATATAGCTGTTATTGATAAGACAATCTCTTTCCCAGAGTCAACCCTTGGAGGTGCTGCTGCTTCAAATTATGCAAATTCCACTTGGGGCCCGGGAGCCTCCTCCAACAACGGCACCTCCCCCAACCCAATTCACATCTGGGACAAGGTGATTGTAGACGGGTCTGACATGGAAGAGTGGCCTTGTATTGCCAGCAAAGACACTGAGTCTTCTTCCGAAAACACCACCGATAACAACAGTGCCTCGAACCCTGGCTCTGAGAAGAGCACTCTGCCAGGAAGCACCACTAGTAACAAAGGAAAAGGGAGCCAGTGCCAGTCTGCAAGTTCTGGGAACGAATGTAATCTTGGGGTCTGGAAATCTGACCCTAAGACTAAATCTGTTCAATCTTCCAACTCTACTACAGAGAGCAACAATGGACTAGGAAACTGGAGGAATGTGAGTGGTCAGGATAGAATTGGACCTGGCTCTGGCTTCAGCAACTTTAACCCAAATAGCAACCCATCTGCCTGGCCAGCGCTGGTCCAAGAAGGAAATTCTAGGAAAGGGGCATTGGAAACGGATACTAGTAATTCCAGTGCACAGGTTAGCACGGTAGGTCAGGCATCCAGGGAACAGCAGTCAAAGATGGAAAATGCGGGTGTTAATTTTGTTGTCTCTGGCAGAGAACAGGCTCAAATTCATAACACTGATGGACCAAAAAATGGAAACACTAACTCCTTGAACTTAAGTTCACCAAACCCCATGGAGAATAAGGGAATGCCCTTTGGAATGGGCTTGGGGAACGCCTCCAGGAGCACTGATGCCCCTTCACAAAGCACTGGAGATCGAAAGACTGGGAGTGTTGGATCTTGGGGTGCAGCTAGGGGGCCTTCTGGAACTGACACAGCCTCTGGACAAAGCAATTCTGGAAACAATGGGAACAATGGAAAGGATAGAGAGGACTCCTGGAAAGGAGCTTCTGTTCAGAAATCAACTGGGTCAAAAAATGACTCTTGGGACAACAATAACAGGTCTACGGGTGGGTCCTGGAACTTTGGCCCTCAGGACTCTAATGACAACAAATGGGGTGAAGGGAACAAAATGACATCTGGGGTCTCTCAGGGAGAATGGAAACAGCCGACTGGGTCTGATGAGTTGAAAATTGGAGAATGGAGTGGTCCAAACCAACCAAATTCTAGCACTGGAGCATGGGACAATCAAAAGGGCCACCCCCTCCCTGAAAACCAAGGCAATGCCCAGGCTCCCTGTTGGGGAAGATCTTCCAGCTCCACAGGAAGTGAAGTTGGAGGTCAAAGCACTGGAAGCAACCACAAAGCAGGAAGTAGTGACAGCCATAATTCTGGCCGTCGGTCGTACAGGCCCACACATCCTGATTGTCAGGCTGTCTTGCAGACTCTTTTGAGCCGAACTGATTTGGATCCCAGGGTGCTCTCAAACACTGGCTGGGGCCAAACTCAAATTAAGCAGGACACAGTGTGGGATATTGAAGAGGTGCCAAGGCCTGAGGGGAAATCTGACAAAGGAACTGAGGGGTGGGAGAGCGCTGCCACACAGACCAAGAACTCAGGGGGCTGGGGAGATGCACCCAGCCAAAGCAATCAAATGAAGTCTGGATGGGGGGAGCTCTCAGCCTCTACAGAGTGGAAAGACCCTAAGAACACGGGAGGCTGGAATGACTATAAGAACAACAACTCTTCCAGTTGGGGAGGAGGACGACCAGATGAGAAGACATCTTCCTCTTGGAATGAGAATTCCAGCAAGGATCAAGGGTGGGGAGGTGGACGCCAGCCCAATCAAGGATGGACTTCTGGAAAGAATGGCTGGGGAGAGGAAGTTGATCAAGCGAAAAACAGCAATTGGGACAGTTCTGCAAGTAAACCTGTGTCTGGGTGGGGTGAAGGAGGACAGAATGAAATTGGAACTTGGGGGAACAGTGGGAATGCAAGCCTAGCTTCAAAAGGCGGGTGGGAGGATTGCAAGAGATCTCCAGCATGGACTGAGACAGGCAGACAGCCCAGTTCCTGGAATAAACAGCACCAACAGCAACAGCAACCACAGCAGCCACCACCACCACAACCAGAGGCTTCTGGTTCATGGGGAGGCCCACCCCCACCACCTCCAGGCAATGGACGACCTTCCAATTCCAACTGGAGCAGCGGGCCGCAGCCAGTAACCCCTAAGGATGAGGAACCCAGTGGTTGGGAAGAGCCATCCCCGCAGTCAATTAGTCGGAAAATGGACATCGATGATGGCACTTCAGCGTGGGGAGACCCTAGCAGTTATAACTACAAGAATGTGAATCTGTGGGATAAGAATTCCCAAGGGGGCCCAGCACCTCGAGAACCAAACCTGCCTACCCCGATGACCAGTAAATCAGCATCAGGTAGGCAATGGCTTTTTCTCGCAGGTTTTGATGACAAAAAGAAATCCTAAACCAAGACAATTTTATTAAGCTATATTTATTCAACATAGCTTTGTTCTGGGAATGTTTCCTACATTAACCCTACTCTGTTGTTAACAGCTCTCTTTATAAAATGATAGTGATAACAGATGCTGGTAGTTCATTTTAATGTTCTTTCTTGGCAAAAGGAAAAGATGGCAACCCTGTGTTAGTCTCCTCAAATTATTTTTTTGTAACTGTGTTGGTCTTCAGAATCCAAAAGACACATATCTTGCTAAACAAACTATGCTCTAGATTTAAAAATAAAGAGTTAAAATAGTCACAGAAATAGTTCTGATTTCCATTCTGCTTCCACCTGTGGACATGTCCTCTGTGCTTCTCTTTCCCCAGCAAAGGGAATTATGCTTTGTTGTTCTTTCAGAACATTCTAGGCCACCAGAATGCTGTAGCAAAGCTGGGATCTGAAAGTTTCAGTCACTTTCCAGATGATTGCAATGATCACCTCTGGAAGTAGAATATTTTGTATAAGAGATTGTTATCTCATGATAATCAGTTGCCCAGAATCAAACTTTCTTCCCTCCTTATTTGGATAGGAAACATCATTCATGGTAAATTAAAATTAGTGCTGAAAATATTGTTAGTTTGGCATTGTCAACTTAAATGTCCCCCTAACGCGTATAGTTCAGCAGATTAAGGGTATGCACCAGTCAAGTGGTTTTTTAGTTGAGATTAATCATAATATTTAGTTTTCTGCTCCCCAAAGAAGTCTATGTTCAGTGAGTCCCATTATGGCCACTGAGAAAATGATTACTTTTAACTAGTTCTTTTTTCTCAATTATTAAAAAGAATGAGAAAGGAAATGAAGATTGCTCATTAATTATTCCCTGTCTAGAATAAAACCTGCTAACGTTTAAAAGAAATTTACCCACATATAAAAACCTTCAAACTGTACAGAAAAGCAAAAGGTAATAAATAAAAGAATCTTGGCCCCTAGGGTCTCTCCCCACAGGTATTCTCTTAGAAGTTTATGTCTCATTCAAATATTTTGTTCATACCCATAGCAAAGTATGCTGTCCTTTAAAAACTTTACTCAGAAGGGATTGTACTACATGTTCTGTTCTTCACCTTGCTTTTTTCATTATACCTAAAATCTTGCCATATTAGCATATATGGTTCTGTCTTTTAATTGCTTCGTATATAGTATTCATTTTATGGATGACCAACGATTGGTCTAACCAGTGTCTTTTTGATAGATGTTTAGATTGCTTCCAAATGTTTTCCAACAGTGATGCAGTTGAGCATTGCGGTACATGTAATTTCATCTACTTTTACAAGCATATCTATGGTGTAATTTCCTGGCAGTGGAATTACTGGTTCAAAAGTTATATACATCAGACTTCTTACAAGTGACAATACCAAATGCCCTCCATGAAGGTGGAACCCATTTATATTCCTACCAACAGAATACGGGAGTGCCCGCTCCCCCTTCTCTTACCCCCACTGGATGTTATGATGTTTTATTTCACAAGTCATTCTTAGAAACACATTTCTTTCCTTTACAGTCTGGAGCAAAAGCACACCACCTGCTCCAGATAATGGTACTTCAGCTTGGGGTGAGCCAAATGAAAGCAGTCCTGGGTGGGGTGAAATGGATGACACAGGAGCATCGACCACAGGCTGGGGGAACACACCCTCCAATGCTCCAAATGCCATGAAACCTAGTAAGTATACAGCATTGTTTTTGAGGGATTCTCTGTTAATTTTGCGGTCAGACATTTTGGTGAGAGCTGTTTAGTGTTTAAACTGTTGTTTCAATGCGATTCAGGACCTTGAACCTTTAATAAATGGAGAGGAGCAAATAGTGGTGACTTGGCTTGGCATATGTTAAAGTGTTTACAGCGAACTAAAAGCCAAGTTAATTTTGTTGATTTTATTTTTAAGTTGGGTTTAGTAATTAGCCAGAATTGAAATTTTGATGTGGTACTTGTTTTGCCCAGTAACTTAAATATTGCTCACCCTATCTATTTTGCATTTCTACTCTTTTGTTAGTATAATTTGAAAAGGGTTTTCTGGCTTTTAATGTGGAACGTGGTCCGTACTGCCCACTGACTTCATTATTCTCTTCTTTCTCCCTTTGTCTCTCTTCTCATACATCCACCCACATAGGAACATTTAAGGTTTCTTGAACCTGACAAAGATTTCTTCATTTGAGTTTTATAAACAAAGCACGTCACACTTATTCATAATCATTGAAAATCTAAGCTATACTTGATCCAGCTGGCAATGTGTAGTCACAGTGATTTGGAAAACTTTGTAAACTGATGCTATGAAATGTCTCATTGGATGTTCCTCAGTTGAAAAATTAAATTTTAAGTGCCCATTTTCACTTGTTTGTAGTTTTCTTAAAAAGTATTCCAACATATTTTTTCTACCATATTGCAAACTTAAGGAATTGTCTTTTGATTTAAAAATGTGGTTAGACTGAATGCTCAGTCTTTGAACAAGAATAAAAAATTCCATTGTCAAGTTTTTTACTTGATATTTAGGACTCTTATAGTGCCACATGAAGAAATATGATCTTAGCTACATTCTAGAAATTCACTCTTGTGCCTACGAAACTTGACTGCATTTTAAAAGTTAGAAGTCTCCTCCACTTCATGGAAATAGCTTTATAGAGACTTTGTCCTCGAGATTGTCGTTGTAAAATCGGTTGTATCACCATGGGAAATACCATCCTGTAGACTTGAAGTAGGTCCAGATTCCTGTTGGAAGACAATAACCAGACCCTTGGCACAAGGAGACACTTTAGTTCAGATGCTTGCTCAACCTCAGAATCACCTTTCTTCTATCACAAAACCCTCGCTTTTCTCCAGATTCTAAAAATGTTTTCTGCTCTTCAGGATCATCTATAGTTACAGCTCATATCTTTTCTCTGGGTAATCTGAATATGAACACAGAGGAAGGGGCTAGATATCACAGCCTCCCCATTGATGCTGGTAGTTAATGTGTGATTTTCCCTAGTCTGCAGATATCTTAAATCTGGTGTCATGGGCCCTAGGATTAAAAATTAGAGGTCTCTTTTATCTTTTCTATAAGAAGACATTTGTTAAAAGTTTAGCTTCATTCTCTAAAAGAAGAGTTACATGGATGTCTTCATTTTTATAAGGGGGTCAGTATGGTATTTATATTGGGTTTTTAATTCCTGTTGTTTTTCAGAGGATGGTATAAAGCCTATGCTTAAAGAATATGAATGATCTCATATGCAGAAGAACCAGTCCCGGTTATCAATGCCATTTCCAGCAGCAGGCAGATTATCCCCCCAGCCCTGCCTCTTGCTGCCGGGTCAGGAAGCCCCTTCATGTAAGGCTGAATGAACCCCATGGAGGGTCCATCAGGTTCCCTTGCTGGAGGATGATGCCACAGTTACTAGAAATCAACTTCCTTGTACCTGTGTGCTTGATGGGTGCCTGCGTGGCTATCATAGGCCTGGTCCCAGGAGATGGCAGCAGTCCTTGAGGAAAGCCCTGAAAGAGCCACTTTTCTGGCTCTAGACTCTTCACGTGAAGCTATCTAAATCAAATAACTGCTCCTTCCATAAGTGTCCCTTCATTTGGTAAACTGAAAGTGTGGATGGAGGTTTCTAGGCAAGTGGTATATTTCCCCTTCTTCCATCATTTTATAATGTCATTACTGCAAAGTGTATCCTTCAGCTCTATGCAGTATTTTTGGAGGGAAATTAAGGGTTTATTCCAATCTCCAAATTAAAGGTCTTTGTTTAGAAGGGAATTTTGGTGGAATAGCCTTTGGATACTGATGTCCTACTTCCTTGAACATTAGAGCCCTCATCTGTGATTTCTGTGTCTTCCTTCCTCCTTTCCCCCTTCTCTCCTCCACATTTCTTCCTCCTGTCTTTTAAAACCTATCACTTACTCATTGTCTTTGCCTAGGATCTTTTTAGTATCTAATACATTTCAAGTATATAAATCTAATAAATTTCAAATTTTCATGGCTGTATGTGATTTTCTCTTCTTTTACCATAATTTTGATATTAAAAATCTAATAAAATTTTCTTTTTTCTTCCCTTTTTCATGTTCTTTTCTCCACCCCAAGCAAAGTAGACAGGTGTTCTCTGTCATACCTATTTGTAATGTCTGTTATAAATAAAGCTCACAACGTGCTTTGGGGAGGGTAGACTAAGGACTGCAGTAAACCGTCCTCGTTCAGAGGACAGATTTCTCTTAACTGAGATGTGAGAGTTCTTATAAGTAGTAATGGATTCTTTTCAATTTTGGAATTCCTGTCAACTTGGTGTAAGGGAGAAGGCTTTGAACCAGAAGTCAGAAGGTCTTGATTCTGTGGTTTGTTAACTTACTCTGTATCATTGAACCTTAGTGGGTTTCCATTTCCTGCTCTCTAAAATATGAATAATGTTTGCCTTGCCACGTAGATGGATTAGAGAAAATGATAAATATACTAAAATACTGCATTTGCAGGGAATGATTATTCTGGTTATTGTTATATATACCTGCTGCATACAGTTGATTCATTCTTTTCTTAAAGATTCCAAATCTATGCAAGATGGCTGGGGGGAGAGTGACGGGCCAGTGACAGGCACTCGCCATCCCAGCTGGGAAGAGGAGGATGATGGAGGAGTCTGGAACACCGCCGGCTCTCAGGGAAGTGCTTCCTCCCACAACTCAGCAAGCTGGGGACAAGGAGGAAAGAAACAAATGAAGGTAGCTCGCTTTAGAAATGTTTGAGCTTGCTTATTCATTCTTAGAAGGCAGACCTGAGAATTCCTTAATGGAAGGAGTGGGGCTGCTGGAGTCCTTGAGGTCCTAAGTAAGGGGAAAATATTTTCTTAAGAACAAATAACTGCTTCCTCCTTACCCCTCATCTTTCTTCCCTGTGACCTTGAAACCTTGAACTGCAGAACATTGCTGTAAGTAAAATGGAATTTTCAGAGATGAGATTTTTTCGTTTTTAGTTTCCATATTATCATAATTCTTTGAAAGCTCTCAATACATACTTTATAAATGTTACATGCTTTTGCATTCTAAAGTCAAACACATCTTTAGAGTAAATCCCTATGAATATGTAGAAGAGAAACCAAAGTAAGATAGCTCCTCCAGTAGCAATCAGCATGACGGGTTTTTTTCTGATTTGGGAAATTCCAAGACCCAGAACTCCTCTCCCAAGAAAATGAAGTAGCAGTGTGTAACCCTGCTGCAGCAGCTCGGTGAGCTATCTGCGTCCTGTACTGGGTGTGTTCTTCTCACTTCCCATGTATAAGAACAGTTCAGTTTCTTCTTTGATTTGCATAATTTGATGAGGATTTTGGTTTTCAATTTAGAACAATAGTCTTTCAACCTGAACCACTCTCTTGGCAGGGCACTCTTTTTTTCCTTCCACAAATTAGCTGATGGAAATAAGAAATGGCAGCCATGTACTTAATTAATTAATTAATTAATTAATTAATTTTTTTTTGAAGATTTTATTTTTTTCCTTTTTCTCCCCAAAGCCCCCCGGTACATAGTTGTACATTCTTAGTTGTGGGTCCTTCTAGTTGTGGCATGTGGGACACCACCTCACCGTGGCTTGATGAGTAGTACCATGTCCGCGCCCAGGATTCGAACCAACGAAACACTGGGCTGCCTGCAGCAGAGCACGTGAACTTAACCACTCGGCCACGGGGCCAGCCCCAGTGTACTTAATTTAAACATGGGAGCCTTGCTGCCCCGTGAGATGCTTCACAGCTAATATTCTTCTGGGTTTCAAATACCAGACACCATCTTAGAGGGTCCTCAGTTGGCTAAGGGCTGTGCCTTCTTCCCCTTCGCCTACAGGATGTTAATTTTCTTCTGACTATGATAACTTCTACAGTCTAAGAATACAGGTTGTTTCTAGTAGAGACGTTTTGTTTAAGTAGTCATTTACAGTTTTCTCTTTTTAAGGACTTTATTTTCTTACTCTAGTCACAAAAGAAATCATTTTGTAAACTTTTCAGCATGGTTTGCACACTCATGTTGTCTGGTCTGCTGTGGCTTTCATTTTGTTTACAAGTTAACAGTGAGACCAAATTAAAAGAGTTTAGAAGACTGCTGATTGAAAGGAAGCAGCTGAGTGAAAGGTACTAAATACCCCACTCAGGTAACCACCAAGGTTTAATAATTAAGTTAGTGGGGAATTAAATGTTTCTGCTCCATGACTGATGATTCTGACCTTTCATACTGAGGACCTTTTTTTTTTTTCAATTGTGATCAAATACAGGTAACATAAAATTTACCATCTTTTTTTTTTTTTTTAAGATTTTATTTTTCCTTTTTCTCCCCAAAGCCCCCCAGTACATAGTTGTGTATTTTTAGTTGTGGGTCCTTCTAGTTGTGGCATGTGGGACACTGCCTCAGCATGGCTTGACAAGTGGTGCCATGTCCATGCCCAGGATTTGAACTGGTGAAACCCTGGGCCACAGAAGCAGAGTGTGCGAACTTATCTACTCAGCCACGGGGCTGGCCCTAAAATTTACCATCTTAACCATTCTTAAATGTACAGTTCAGTGGCATTAAGTATATTTACGTTGTTGTGCTGCCATCACCACCATTTATCCATAAAACTCTTTCATTTTGCAAAACTCAGACTCTATACCCATTAAACAATAGCCACCAGTCCTCCCTTCCCTCTAGTGAGGGATTTTTTTTTTTTGGTGAGGGAGATTGTTCCTGAGCTAACATCTGTGCCAATCTTTCCCTATTTTGTATGTGAGATGCCACCACAGCATGGCTTGATGAGCAGTGTGTAGTTCCACGCCTGGCATTTGAACCCGTGAACCTTGGGCCACCAAAGTGGAGTGCATGAACTTACCACTACACCACTGGGCCAGCCCCTAGTGAGGGCTTTTCTAATCCTAAGACCTATAACTGAGCTTACGTACCGTATCCTTTAAAGAATAATAAAATTGATATGACAAATATCGTCACAACATAAAACAATTTTTACCTGTAGAATGCACAAAACCCATGACCTGCTGCCCCTACGGATTCCGCATTGTAGTTCCACCTGCCTTCTCCACAGAAGTGAAAGTAGAGCTGCTGATTGGTGTCTTGTTCAGGGGAGAAACTGGTTTGTCCCATTAGGAAACAAGCAAAAACCCACCTCCGCCTTACTTTGCGGTAGATTAGTGATGGTGTCTTCTGTTTGGCCTCTTTTCCATTGCGGCCCAATGTGAAACAAACAGATGGAACTGCTACAGGGAGAAGTTCCTCATTGCATCCGTACAGAGAATAATGGCCAGTTTAAGTGGGCTCCTTTCCAAATAACATGCATTGGCATCAGACTCTTTCTTTTCTTCTAATACAAACCAGCTTGGGTTACAAGCAGAAACTTAAAGGTCAAGTACTGGCATTCAAACATTATATTTTAGAAAATCTGATGTTGACCTCCTTCTGTTTATAAGGTAAAAACACGAGTTGACTGTATATTTTTCCAGTTACTTCTAATTCAGCATGACAAAATAAGAATGAAAACATGGAGGGGCCGGCCTGGTGATGTAGTGGTTAAGTTCGTGCTCTCCGCTGTGGTGGCCTGGGGTTCTCAGGTTCGGATCCCGGGCATGGATCCAGCCCTGCTCGTCAAGCCACACTGTGGTGGCATCCCACATAAAATAGAGGAAGACTGGCACAGATCTTAGCTCAGAGCCAATATTCCTCATTTAAAAAACGAATGAAAACATTGATATAACTAAGGTTTATTAATCTTTTCAACTAACAGTTAAAACATCAAAATAGCTGTAGTTAAGGAGGAATGGTTAGGGTTCAAAAAAGTAAACTCTTAGTTCTACATATCCAGTCAGTAGTTAATGCAAGTCAGGTATGAAGTTGAAATAAAATAAATTATTCGGTTCTGAGGTTACGTATTTCGTTTCTGTAGTGCTCACTAAAAGGAGGAAACAATGATTCATGGATGAATCCTCTTGCCAAACAGTTTTCGAATATGGGATTGCTGGTAAGTTTTATTTTTTCTTATGTGTAATGTAGCCCAACTTTTATGTTTAGTACAAATTTTAAGACCACTGCCACAAATAGTACAAAATTACAGATTTAGAAACTGGTTAAGCAATGTTCCGTATATGGAGTAAGCAATATTTATTCTCTAGTCTTTTATTCTTAATTAAATACTCCAATATTTAAAGGTTATAGCTTTTAAATTTATAATTCTTGTATCCTTTTCCTTAGGAGGTTAGGGAAGAAAAAGCCAAGGACTTACAGTTTAAATAATTTTCACTGACTGCTGTACCAGTTTTAGTATTATAATAGAGAGACAACAGCAGCAAAATAACTAGAGAAACTATTCATGATTAACTGTATAGGGAATTCTTATAAAATTTCTAATTTTTTAATCTCTTGGGAACATTATAGGGACACCCTGTCCCTGGTTGCCAAAAGACAAATGACGTGACTTGGCTGCACATTTCGAGATTTGATAACTTGACAAGTCACGAGAAGAAGTTGTCATCGTTTGGCTGCTGCTCGTGGAATCCGATCCTGGGCCGACGGGAACTCGAGGACAGGGGTTTATGTCTCTCAGCAGCTGTTCAGCTATTGCTCTGTCCGTAGATTTACCGAAGCTAATTCTGCGTGAAACTTGGATTGAGGAATATAGGCACCAGCAGCAGTCAAATTAGTTGTATTCAAAATGTTATTGTCTTCATTCCAATTTAAGGTTCATTTCAAAGGACCTTCTATAGTGCCGGTAGTAAGATGTGACTCTCACATGAAGAATGCCATTTCTTCTCCGATGCAAACATTTAATTCAAACCTTTAATCCTCCCTCACTGTTCTTTATTTTTCAGAGTCAAACTGAAGATAATCCAAGCAGCAAAATGGATTTGTCTGGAGGTGTGTATTACTCCACTACTGTGGATGGAATACATTGTTGTCCATGATACCGTGTTGGGATCCTCTGCTCAGTTTGAGTTGGGGTGGGTGCGGTTCAGTAGACATGTGTTGCATACTTTGTGGAAAGTACCATGTTAGACACTAGGTAGGGGTTGAAAACTCAGATGACTGCAAGAGCCAAGAAGGTGATGTAAATGCGTGGAATGTGCCAGGTATAAGACATTGGGCCTTGGAGGTTAGCCATGGAGAGCGTATGTACCACCTAAAGGAGTCAGCCGTGCTTGGCTCTGAGCAGTTACTACCGTGGAGGAGCACAGGCTCAGCTTTCCCAGCTCTTCCAGTTTTTCAAGAGAGGCCAGAAATTCAGATGTATACTGACACCCTGATTTTTAAATACTGGAAACTAATTCAGTTTTTTTAAAATGCTGTGTGTGGCCAAACAAAACATGTTTGTGGCCCTGCCAGGCTCAGCTCTCAGGTTGCCAGTCTTGTCTGCACGGAAGAAACTTTTCATTGTTGACAAACTCTCCCGTTCCAAGTGGAGCAGATGCAGTGTCAGACCCTAGTCTGTGGGATCCTCACAGTGATGCTGTTGCTCACCCTGAGGAACTTAAAAAAGAATCACACCGAGAAGGAAAGAAAACCATCATGGGTAATAAGGGAAATAGTCTTTGATCTATGATTTTTTATTTTTAACGATTTTATTTTTTTTTTCCTTTTTCTCCCCAAAGCCCCCCAGTACATAGTTGTATATTCTAGTTGTGGGTCCTTCTAGTTGTGGCATGTGGGACGCTGCCTCAACTTGGTTTGATGAGCAGTGCCATGTCCGCACCCAGGATTTGAACCAACGAAACACTGGGCCGCCTGCAGCAGAGCATGTGAACTTAACCACTCGGCCACGCGGCCAGCCCCCTATTTTTATTTTTATTTTTTTTGAGGAAGATTAGCCCTGAGCTAATGTCTGCTGCCAATCCTCATCTTTTTGCTGAGGAAGACTGGCCTTGAGCTAACATCCGTGCCCACCTTCCGCTACTTTCTGTGTGGGACGCCTACCACAGCATGGCTTGCCAAGCAGTGCCATGTCCGCACCTGGGATCCAAACCAGCGAACCCCGGGCCGCCAAAGCAGAACGTGCGAACTTAACTTCTGTGCTACCGGGCCGGCCCAGATCTATGATATTTTTAAACGTGAGGATAACTAAAAATAAGCTTCCTGGGGCATTGATCATGTCATTGTACAACAGCAAATTTATAGAGCTGTGAAAGAAAAGTGGAAATAATCAGTGCACCTGGGAGATTACATTATACAAGTGGTATGGCACACCATCTCCTGGTTCAACTCCAAGGTCTAAATTTTAGGTCAACAACTGTGCCTCTTGGATCTCTTTATTCCCAGTAACTGTGTTTCACAACCCCAACCATTTATCCCATAGATGCTAAAATAGCCACAAGAGATAGATTCTCTCACTGAGGACATTTGAATTTATGAACAAGATGTATTTGTCAAACATATCAATGATCAGTCTGAATATTTTTTTAGTCAGATTTTTACCAGCTTAGCCCTAAGATTCTCTTTCAGGCTTCCATAGAAAACAAGCTACAACTGGTACTTGGTGGTTTTTTTTTTCTTTTCCCCTAAAAAAAGAAAAAGACCCACATGTGTCCTAGAGAGGATCACCAGCAGCCTGAACCACCTGAACCAGTGCCAGCTCTTCTGGCCTTACATCTGGCACCCTAGTGGGGAGAGTGGGCAGGTCACTCTTGGTCATGAGGGAGACATTGGTTCTTGAAATTTTCACTCCTTCTGTGCTATTTTTCAGGGAGCCTTCCAGATAAAAAATTTGATGTGGACAAGCGAGCAATGAATCTCGGGGATTTTAATGATATCATGAGGAAGGATCGATCTGGGTTCCGTCCACCTAATTCCAAAGACATGGGAACCACAGATAGTGGGCCTTATTTTGAGAAGGTGAGTTGAATCCTTTGTTTCAGATAATTCCTGAGAACCACTTTGGTTCCTCTTTGTCTTTTGATAATTGATTCCAGGAGGAAGCACAGAATTAACTAAATTAACAAGCAAAACGCGAATATCACCTGCGTTTAAATGGTGACGTGAAAACAGTTGATATCAACAGGCAATTAGGCAGGAGCTAGAACCATCTGTCTTTAGGATGTGAGTATTGTAAAGAAGGTCTAAGTTCTGGAAAATGTATGAAGTTTGGAGGGGAGAAATGGTCTGACTTTTTATAGTGGGGGAAATGCACACTCGAAACATATAGAAGAAATTTGAGAGACAAATTTATTCTGAATTCTTTTTTTCTACCACTGTGCAGTTACAAATTAAATTTTGGGATCTTGTGCGAATACTCTGGATCTCCTAAGGCCTTGCCATCCAGCTTTGTCAAGATAACCCAAAACTTTCTCCTTTGCTGTTTCTAAAGAGCTCTTTTGTGATCTTTCTCCATTTTCCTAGTGATCTATTTCTAGTTAAAATGGTTTACTTTTCTAATTCTCAACTACCTGATTTAAATAAGTCCTTTATACATATTTGTTTTGATTTTTCACATTTCTGACGGAGGAGATTATTCCTTGATTCTGGATACCAATTTGCAGTGCTCCTGGTCTTCAGAAACCAGTTAAAACCAGGATTTTTATATCTGGCATACTTTTGACACCACTGATGCTGGTCCAGCATATTCACAAGAATATTACTCTGGCTTCTGTTTCAGCAGCTACAAAGTTAGAGTAATCAATGTTAGATACCAAAAAAGGTGTCTGGTAATTTTTATCTTAGTGCAGTGGGCAGAATGTGTTACTAACTTAGAGGATAAGAAAAATCTATATCAAAGAGGATGACAGATGGTGTCTGTTGGGCAAAGTATGATGATTATCGGATCCAAATTCCGTCCTCGTTTATTGCTAATACACTCTAACTTTGTTTATTCCTAGTGTTTCTCTCTTTTCCCTTCTTGCATTCTGTTGCTTCACTAACCAACACTCATTGTGATTGGCTAACTACTACTGCTTTTCAGCTGACTTTGCCTTTCTCCAATCAAGATGGGTGCCTTGGGGATGAGGCTCCCTGCTCTCCCTTCTCCCCTTCTCCCAGCTACAAGCTGTCTCCCTCTGGTTCCACACTACCCAACGTCAGCCTTGGAGCAATCGGCACAGGGCTCAACCCCCAAAACTTCGCTGCTAGACAAGTAAGGAGGCCTCTCAAATTTGTAACTGCTTGGCTGTGGCCTCGCCTTGGCTCTGGTCTGCAGTTTATTGCATCATTTGTCTGTCTTGGGAAATTTGTTGATTACTGAATGCACAGAATGATATTAAGGATAGGCTTTAGATCTTTCAGCCCATAGAACCATCTCTCTTCATGTTTCTCAACATGGATTTTATTTTAAATGTTTCTTTTGTCTTCTCATTTTTGGTCATGGGTTCACATTTAATAAGTTAGCTAATAACTGGCCTAGGAAAATGTTAAGGAGGCTACATAGGTACTTCCGCTCATCTAATTTAGCAACATATTTGCCATTTTTAACATTAGATTGAATGGCAAGTAATACTTTTGAGGTCTTTTCAATTAATTAGAAATACAGCAAAACTAGTAAGATTAAATGTTTGAGAGTTATAGCATCTTAAAATCTAGTGTCTTTAAGAATAAAATCTAATAATTACTCAGAGAAAGGTAACTGATATTAGATAATGAAGCTTTGAGAAGACCGGATATTGCTCAGATGTGGCAGCGTTTCATTCAGCCTGGAGCACCCCTTTCCTAGGGCTGGATCTGTCAGTCCTCCGAGGAAGGGCTGTGCAATAGAAACAAGACTGGCAGAGCAGGTGTGGTGAGGACTCCTTGCTTTCACAGGCCTGAGAGGGCGCAGCAGGCCTCTGTCTGTCCCCCACAGTAGATCCTTGTAATTTTTGTGGAGAAAACCAGGAATTTGGGGATAATTCCTTTGTGACAGTGACTCCAATGATGATATTTTCCTAGCCATAGTTTCGTGACCACTTGTCCCTGTGACTTTCACCCTCAGATGTCATGGAAGGACATTTAATTATTAGTTGTATCCATTCTGTTTCCACGTGATAACTGTCACATATAAATTAAAGGATAATATAAAACACCTCTTACACCATAGTCCTCAAGTTGCTTATAGGTCCTTCATATGCTTTCTAATTGTTGCCTTAGCACATTTTTAAAAATGGATTACATTATATCCATGTGTTCAGATTGGTTATCTCTGGACTTGGAATTATAGGTAATTTTTTGTTTTCTTCTTTGATATTTCATGTTTTTCGTAATGTTTCCACAGAGGACATGGCTATGTATTGCTCACATAAACAGAGGGGAAACAATTGCAGTCATGCGTCGCTTAACAACAGGGATACATTCTGAGAAATTCATCGTTAGGCAATTTTGTTGTTGTGCCAACATCACGGAGTATATGTACACAATCCTAGATGGTATAGCCTATTACACACCCACAAGGTTATATAGTTCTAATCTTATGGGGGACACTCACATACAGGGTCCATTTTTGACCAAAACATCGTTAAACGTCACATGACTGTATATCAGTGTTTTAGGGGCTCTTTTCTTTTGGATTGAGGTATAGAAAATATAAAATAGTCGTAACACTCTTGGTTAATGGTAATTATAAACATGCTTTCAGGATCACAAGATTATCCAATTCTATTAGTACATAAACTGTAGTATAATAGACCAACCAAACTAGCTGTGCACTGGACTCAAGAAAAGGTCATTCCCCTTCATTTTTTTGATCTGTGGATTGCTGCAGAGTCCATTGTCAACCAAGTTGATACACATGTTCTATCCATATATAGTCATGGTTTTTCACACTATTTTCATGCAGACTTAATATGCTTCCTAATTAAGAAATAAAATTTAAGGTTTTTATTTTCAAATCACAGAAGATTTCATTCAACCTGGTAACTTTGTTTTTAATTTATATACTTCTCTTGAGTTAAACACTGTAGTTGAGGCAAATATCACCAATAGCTGTTAGGATTCAGGTCATCATAAAAGCCTCACATATAACAGTAAAGCTCTACAAATAGCCAGATAAACCACCATTAACATATATACAAGCTTTTGATGACTGTTTTCCTAATTTCTAAATATAATTCTAAAAAAACCACTAGATTTGTATGACGGGCACTAAATACATTACTGTGCAATGTAGCTACTTCTGAACCAAAAAAATAACCAGCTTGAGATGCCAAGGTTCCGTATTTAAAAATAGAGAAGGTATGTTTTGATAGACTACTGTTGACTTATCTATATTATTATCCATATCAGATATATCAAAGTGTTTCATATGGCTTTAGAGACACTTGATGATGAAAATCTAAAACGTTTAGTGGAATGGGGTGGAATCCGTCTACTGGGAGTAGGAAAGTTAGTGCTTGATTTTCCGAAAACTAGAAAAGCAAATTCCGTTTAATACTTCTTACCAAAAGAGAGGTTGAAATTAAAAATGGCCCTCAGAAAGCGGTTTTGGGCCTGTCGAAACATGGGTTATGGTGAGGACTTGAGCTACCAGAAACCCCACCATCCAAGGACCACTCTGAATAATTAACATCTAATAACAAAGTCATTACTTCATTAGTAAAGTGTAAGTGAGAACGATCTTAGCAGAACCATTCTTAGTGAAGTAAATGTTTCCTGTTTTCCTGGGAATGATCAGCAGCCAAGCTGCTGACTGCCACAATCTCAGAAGAGTTAGAGCCGGGCCATTTCACCTGAGAGTGACAGCTTGATTCCTAGGACAGGAGAAGCAGAGATATTAAAGTTTCTAGAATTAAAGGTCTTCGTATGTTTAAACACTCCTTTGGGATATTTAAAATTCATAGTGGATCTTTGGTTCTCTTTTATGAGACGTACACAGAGTTTGATTGCCATTTCTATTTTACGTTCACAATCATTTTTATTTTCAATGCTTTTAACTTCATTAATTTCCCTGTAGCAGTCCCTTATCTATTTTGAATCATTAAGCCATCAGAATATCTTTAGAGTTCTAGAACTTAATGGTGCCATTACAACATTCTTCTTTAAATTTACCTTAATCCCCACGATTCCAGGGATAAGATGATGGTAGTGACTTCTGTTCAAGGTGCACGTACTTAGTATAAACAATGGTGCAACTGTCCTCACTGATGGTGTTCAGTGGGACGTTTTCAAGTATATGAAATTGGTGGCTCACGGATGTTTGCAAATGATGTGCTCATCCTCCAGACCAGGGCTTTATTGAGTTCTGGGAATACAAAGAGGGAAATATTAATCTGGTGGTGGATAGACTGGAAAATGACTATAAGATGATTTGATGATGGATGCTATCAAAGAGTTTTAAAGAGTTTTGAGAATATAGAGGTGGGCTCAGTTAATTTGAATGTGGAATGAGGAAGAAGGTTTTGAGGAAGACTTTCTTGATGAGGATGACCTCTCAGCTGGGCCTTGAAGAGGCCAAGTGAAGATGGTGTAGAAAACTACACTGTGAGGGAGCACAGTGTCAAGTATCAAATACGGTTTCCTTCCTCAAGGACTTTTCTCAGCTAGAAACAAATTAGAAAGGAAGGGCCATCGTATAGCCCAGATTTCCATAGCTCTTTTGATTGGAACAGTCTAGAAGTGCTCCAGTGAGTTGGTCCTCAAGAAATCAGGGAGTTAAACTTGTTTTTAACTAGACTGGTAGTCATATATTTGAATGACAAGTTACAGGTGAGTAATGTTTGTTTTGATGTCCCTGTAATAATTTTTCAATTTTTCCCTTTCTTCCTTTTTCACCTCGCTCTGTGATTGATTCAGATTTCCTCATCTAGCAAAGAAGGGACCAAGTAGACCCAAGACAGGGAGAGGTGTTCAGATCTGGAATAGGGTTCTCCTGGAGCTAGGGTCACAATTGAGTGGCACTGATTTTATGATTGAACTAACCAGTTCAGAGAAGTGACATCATAGTGTTGTTTTACAGTTGATACTATTCATAAGTTTGTGTTTTTACTAGGTGCCTTTTAAGATGGACCTCAGATTATAAAGTTTGAGAATAAATTTGGCAAACCCAATCTTAGAAAAGAAAGTAGTGGAATTAAATGTTATATTGCCTTTGCCTTTCAATTATGAAAAAAAAATTAGTGCTTTTTCTAACATTGACTAAATTTAACCCTTTTGGTTTATAGAGTGCATCAGACTGCAGGGGTGGTGGTGATATGCCCATGATTGAATTTGAATAATTTTCCCAAGCATTCCAAGATGAGGAACTTTTCAGTTATAAATTTCTGTGATTCCACAGAACACAGGATATGATTCTTCTGAGACGTAGAAAACCTAAACTGTTTCTTATTTGCATTTTCTTATGTTAACAAAAAGCCTTACCATTGCTGTGTTGTTTACAGGGTGGCAATCATGGTTTGTTTGGAAATAGCACAGCACAATCGAGAGGTATGCACACCCCAGTGCAGCCGCTAAATTCTTCTCCTAATCTCCGGGCGCAAGTGCCTCCCCAGTTTATTTCCCCCCAGGTAAGCAATTTGATGTTTTGACAATTCAAAAATCCTGCCTATCCAAGTGGCTACCAGTTATCAACTGACTGGTTTTGTGGGCATAAAAGGAATAATAGTGGTCTTAAATTTGAAAAACCCAGATGCAAAGGACCAAGATTTTTAGAACAAAATATCAGATCTCATTTTTTAATTTTATTGTGCATATGAAGTTGATGTTTTCACATGAAAAACATTATGATTCTGTTCATTTTAGATCTCCTGTATACTTTTCTAATACTGAATTGATTTTTTTTAATTGCATATAATTAAAGCTATTTTATAAATTCTGATGTGTCAACATTCAGAAGTTGGTTGCCCTCATTGGGATTCACCCACAGATAAACAGGAGAACTGCCGGATTCTGAGTTGTTCTGAAAAGTTTTGAGGAGACAGATGCTAAAATACTGACTAGAGGCTCTGGGAGACTTTTAGAACTAATGAAGGGGCAGAGCTGTATTCGTAGCGCAGCTCTGTGTAGCACTCCGTCCTTTGGGGACCATGGGAACCCTTCAGATCCATTTCTTAGTGGGGACGTGCAGTGAGTTGTTTGGAGGTACATGTGAGAGATTTGGGCTAGCCCACAACATACGGTCGCTTGTACCTCTTTGGAGAAAACGAGTCTGAGGTGCAAAGTAAAACCTGATAAGCCCGTGTAAGGATTCAGTGTGTGACCTTGGTCTCCTTAGAACATTACTTTGATGAACTGAGATCAAGAGCTTTGAGTCCATCCCATCCTATAAAAGAGGATGGGGCGCTTACTGGATCCAACCAACAGGTTGTAAAGGGTCAGGTTTTGTTGTTTTGTCATTTTGGAATGCCTTTTAAGACAAAAGCTTAAAATATTTATTTGATACCATAATCTGTTGATTTCAAATCCGGTTTTTGACGTTGAGTCTATATCTGTCTTAGTGGGAGAATAAATGTTCATCTCCTCCTCCTGTAATCTTCGTGTCCTGTCTGAGAGTCCTCTTAGTGTCTGTCTCCTTCCCCTTCCTTTCTAAGTTCTAGTCATCCTTTAAGTCCCAAGTAGTGGCATGTCCTCTAGACAGAGCTATTCCTGACTTCCCCGGCAGTCCACAATGGCAGCGTCGTCTTAACTCTTGGAACACTTTCCAGCGTGCCTTGGTCTCAGGCCAACAGTCATCTGTGGTTATTGAATGTCTGCAGTATGCCAGGTAGTATGTTGGCAATGCACAGATGAAGATAACACCATCTCTCCCATGGCAGCCTCCTGGAGTTGGTGGTGGTGATGGCAGAATAGTCACGAAATACACAGTGTGATAAATGTTGTATAGAAATGATTAACAGAGTTTGGGGGTGCTGGGCGAGACCTCACATTAGCAGTGATATCAAAGCTGGATCTTGAAGAATGAGTCAGAGTTTGCTAGGCACAGGCAGGTTAAAGGTACCTTCTAAGGAGCAGGAACAGCTTGTGCAAGGGGGCAATAATGTCTGGAAGAACGTGGCATGTTTTGGAAAATTGCATTTGTTTGAATAATTAGTCTGAGCTTGTTGAAGCATATAGGTGTTATCTAGAGTGAAATAGAAAAAACTAGTAAGGAATTTTGGGACCAAATTTGGAAAAGCTTTGTTTACCTTGCTAAGGAGTTTGGACTTTGTCTTTTGGTCAGCATGGTTTGTAACCATTATCTGGGCTGCTGCTTGAAATACCATACTCAGGGCCAGCCTGAGTGGCATAGTGGTATAAGTTTGCACACTCTGCTTCTGGGGTTTGTGGGTTTGGATCGTGGCTGTGGACCTACACACTGCTCATCAAGCCATGCTGTGGTGGTGTCCCACATACAAAATAGAGGAAGTCTGGCACAGATGTTGGCTCAGGGACAGTCTTCCTCACCAAAACAAAACAAAACAAAACAAAGGGCTGGCCCCAGGGCTGAGTGGTTAAAGTTCTGCATGCTGCCCTTCAGTGGCCTGGGTTCATGGGTTCAGATCCTGGGTGCAGACCTATACCACACATCAGCCATGCTGTGGAGGCATCCCACATGCAAAATAGAGGAAGACTGGCACAGATGTTAGCTCAGGGCGAATCTTCCTCAAAAAAAAAAAATACAGTTCTTACATCTTTCCCAATCTACTGAAGCACACTCTTGGGTGTTGGGGCCTGGTCACCCCCAGGTGATTCTTATGTGCACCCTAAAGTTTAGCTGCTACTGCTATAGATAATATGGTATTAGGCAAGATTTTTCAGCTGAGTGGCAATGTATGAAAATTTTTGTTTTAGAAGATAGCACTGACAATAATATAGAGGGCACATTTGGATTGCAGAATTACTAAAGCAAAGGAGATGAGTTACAAGTCTTGTACAGGAGTCCAGGGAAGGCAGTGGCAGTGGGGTCACTGATGATCTTTGTGTTGTGGAATAGTAGTCTGTTCTCCAGTCTGTACTTATTCAGTGTATCTGCAGCATTTCACATGGTTGATCACTCCCTCCTTTTTGAAACACTTAAGTCATTTGGCTTTCAGACATCTGTATCTGTTCTCCACCTGCCTCTCCTTCTCCATCTCCTTTACAAATTCCTCTTCACTTCCCCATCTCACAGCCACGGCTAGATGATCTCACCCAGAGGAATGACTTTAAATACTGACAATTCCAAAATTGTGTCTTCAGCCCAGATCTCTCCTCTCAACTCCACAGACTTATGGGCTTTTCTGCCGGCGTACCTTCTAGGCATCTCAAGTTAACATGTCCAAAATAGAACTTCTGGCTTCATCCCACACTCACCTCAAAAACATCCGCTTCCTCCAGGTAAATGGCACTCCCAGTTTTACAGGTGCTCAGGCCAGAGACTTCACAGTCCACATCTAATTCATCAGTAAATCCTCCTTCCTCCTTTCAAAACATTACCCAGAATCTGACCATTTCTTTCCACCTCCTCTGATACAACCTCTGGCTGAGCCCCCACCATCCTTCTCCTAGAAATGGCTTCCTGACCGATCCCAGCCCTGCTTCATTCAATACTTGCCTGCCTCGAGTCTGTTCTCCACCCAGCATTCAGACTGATCCTCTAAAACCACATGGTCCAATGTAGCCATTAGCCACATGAGCACTTGAAATGTGACTAGTGGGACGGAAGAACTGAATTTTTTATTTTAATTAATTTAAATTAAAATAGCTACACATGGTTAGTGGCTACCATATAGACACTGCAGATGTATAACATTTCTCTCGCAGCAGAAAGTTAAGGTAAATCATTTTACTACATTACTGGGAATCCTCTCATGGCTTCCTCTCTCACTGAAAATACAAAACCTGCTCTTTACTGTGGTCTTTGAGGCTCTTGGTGATCTCCCTACCTCCCACACCTACTACTTTCCCATTCGTGCAGGCCTCTCCAGCCGTTTGGCCCCAGCACACCCAGCATACTCCTAGAATGCTCTTCTCCCAGATTGCCACGCAGCTCCATCTTTCTTGGCTTTGGATCTCTGCTTCAGTGCCACCTTCTCAGGCCAGGCTGTGCGCGGTACACCACCACCACTGTTACTCTCCCTCCTCCTCACCCCCTCAGGAGTGTAGCACTCTTCACAGTGGCAGGATCTGTGTCTGCTTTGTTCACTGCTGGATCCTGAACATCTACAACTGTGCAGGGCGTGTATTTTGAGCTCAGTAAATCTACGTCAAGTCATGGGAAGATGCATTTCAGGATGGTTTAGAAACTGGAAAGCACACTTAACCTAGTCTAAGAGACTTAGAGGCTAGAAATCTCTTTATGACCAAAGTATCTGCTCTACTTGGAAAAGAAAAGTACTTGTGTTCTCCTACATTTTTTAAATTTGTTTATTTAGCAAAAACATGGTTAACATTTATTTAATGCATAATGGAGCAGAATATTAAACAATGGAATCTTTCATTTTTTTTCCTATTTACATATTTTAAAAAACAAAGCAGTTGAGTAGCTCTTTTTTGTTTTGTTTTGTTTTAAGTAAAGACAATGTAATAATCACACTGAAAGTTTGGATAGTGGAGAAAGAAATTCTTCCAGAAACACCCTACCCGGATGCAATAAAAGGGATTATTTTTACACAATCTCCTATTCAGACTCTGTATACAAGCATGCTCTTCATATGCTTGCATTCACGGCCACTCTATCTTGCTGTTTTTGTTAACAGATAGTCTTCATGTTAATTATTCTTAATGAGCAAGGCACAATGTTCTATCAGGTAGACTTACTTTGATCTCCCTTCCCCCATTACTGGATATTAAACTGTTTGTAATTTTTTGCTGTTATAAATAACACTGTAGAGAAATCCTTACACATAGATCTTTGCCCACATTATTTCTAAATTTAGTTGCCAAGAATGAAATTTCTGGATGAAAGCACATAAACCTTTAAAATTTGTGATAAAGGTTATCAAATTTTACATCCATTTTAACCACTTTTTATAGGGACAGTTAATATTTAATGTCAACATAGAGATGATGTTGAAACTCGTTAAGATTTATTACAAATGTTCCATGCGGTGGGTTTTTCTACCTTGCCTTTTTCTTCCTGTTACTCAGATATCCAGAAAGTAACGTATTCTACCAGGCTTTTGTCTTGCTTTTAAGTTGCTGTCGTTTTGCACCTGCAATGCTTTGTTAAATGCCATATTGACTCCAACTAGATCTTTACTTTCTCCAACCCAGCTGGAGACTGAAGGGCTTTTAAGCCAAAATAATTAACTCCCTGCTACAGGAGCGTGCAAACCTGCACTTTAATTACTCTGCAACCCAGGTAGGAATAGCCCTTTGCCAGGAGTCTAGAGGTGCTTCTCTCTGGTCCTTTTGTATTTGTTGAGAAGGGCAGTACACGTGCAGTTTGAGGAAGGGAGAAGCTGAGCAAAGTTAGACAAGGAGTCCTCAAAGGATAACCTTTATAGTCTTTATAACTGTCAATTTTTGGAACATATGAGCTGCTGGCATTTAAATCAAATTTAAATTTAAAGTATAAAAATACCTTGTGTTAGCATTTCTTTACTTTTCTTTACAGTCTTTCTGTATCTGTATGTCTTTTAAACAATATGTTGTTCCCTTTTGCCCTTTTTGCACTTTGTGTAATGAAATCATACAGTAGATAGCCTTCTCTGATTTTTTCTTTTTTTTAAAGATTTTATTTTTTCCTTTTTCTCCCCAAAGCCCCCCAGTACATAGTTGTATACTCTTCGTTGTGGGTCCTTCTGGTTGTGGCATGTGGGACGCTGCCTCAGCGTGGTTTGATGAGCAGTGTCATGTCCGCGCCCAGGATTCGAACCAACGAAACACTGGGCCGCCTGCAGCGGAGAGCGTGAACTTAACTGCTCGGCCACGGGGCCAGCCCCTTCTCTGACTTTTTTTACTTGATATTGTTTCTGAGATTTTCCCATGTTGATTTGGGCAGTTCTGGTTCATAGAGTATTCCGTTATATCAGTGTACCATCATTTATTTACCGATTCTACTGCTGATAGACATTTGGGTTGTTGCCAGAGTTTTGCTCTTAGGAGCAGGGCTGCTGTGAATTTTCCTATGTTTGTCTCCGAGGATGAATTTTTCTAAAGTACTGCTGGGTCATGAGCATATTTTACTTTGAATGGTGGTTTCTTTAGCTAATTTTGAGGAATAGTAAGGGGAAGGAATGATGGGCTCTTGGTAAGAGATGGCGTCCATTCTCAAGACTGTAGAGAAATGGGTTGATCAAGAGACCAGCTGATTTGTTCAGTAGAGCTTATAAAACTGAACATAGAAGGAGGGAGAAGTGAGAGCTCAGACAATGGCTGTTTACTTTGGAGGCCACCAGGTTAGGAATCAAAATAAGGGGAAGAGATTTCCCATGAATCGTAGAAGAAGACATTGGAAAGGAAGGTAGAAACGGTGCTGATGGCCTTGCGCAGCTCTATCCAATAGAAATACAGTGCAAGCTGCATGGTGCAAGCTGAAGTTCTTAGTAGCCACATTTAAAAAGAGAAAAAGAAACAGGTGAAATTAATTTAATAATATGTATTCTTTAACCCAATATATTATAAATTATTATCATTTTCAACCTGTAATCAATACTTAAATTAAAAGTTATTATTGAAATCTTTACTTTCTTTTTTTTCTAATACTAAGTCTTTGAAATCTTGGTGTATTTTATACTTAAAGAAGATTTCAATTTGATTAGTCATGTTTCAAGTACTCAACAGCCACGTGAAACTGGTGGTTAACGTATTGGATGGCATAGGCCTACAAAACATAGTTTTGTATTAGTTTCTTTCCTAGAAACTGCCACAACAAATTACCACACACTGGGTAGTTTCAAACAACAGAAATTTATTCTCTCGTAAGTTCTGGAGGCTGGAAGTCTGAAATCAAGGTGTCATCAGGGTTGGTTCCTACTGGAGGCTTTGAAGGAGAATCTATTCCATGCCTCTCTCCTAGCTTCTGATGGCTGCTGACAATCCCTGGTGTCCCTTAGCTTGTAAGCACATCACTGCAGTCCCTGCCTCCATATTCACATGGCGTTCTTCCCTGCATGTCTCTGTCTTCACATGAATTTCTCTTCTCTGTCTCTGTATCCAAATTTCCCTCTTCTTATAAGGACACCAGTCATTGGATTTGGGCTTACTCTAATCCAGTATGACTTCATCTTAAACATGATTACATCTACAAAGATCCTATTTCCAAATAAGGTCATATTCTGAGGTTCCAGGTGGGCGTGAATTTTGGGGGAACACTATTCAACCCAGGATAGTTGCTGAGTCACATAAATTTAGGATTCACACGGAAGGTACTAAATATGATTTCGTAAGTCTTTGAGGTGTAGTGGACTAAGACTCCAGTTTAGAACATGGTGTTGATAACGTAGGATATAACTCATAACACCCCCCCCCCCAATACTCTTAATACAGTGAGGTTAGAATTGTTATATCAGAGACAGTAAGTTGAGTCACACTGGTGACCGATGGATGAACTCAAAGGAGAGGAGAAGAAGAGTTATCATTTGGGAGAAATTGTGAAGAGTGTGTCTCTCATGCCGGCCATAAAACTGGTGCAGAGGCACAATGCTCTGTAGTGGTGTGCTCACTTTAAGCTCACATCTGCTAGAGCTCCACTTGTTAAAACAGAAAATCAAACAAGTTTTTTAATTGGGTGGCAAAACTCAGCATCTCTCAAAGAAGAGAGCGGAAGCAGCTGGGAGAACTATTACTTTCAACCAAAAAACCTTCCAAAATGGTGAAATTGATAGGTTAAGTGAAAGTGACTGAGAACTTGGAAGAAAATGAATTGGTGAGCCAAGTATGGGAAACCTGAACTTAGATGTTTCTAGACTAGAAAGTGTCAAAGGAAAGATAGGCAGATAGTCTTGAGAATGTAGCAGAGGCAGTGACTCAAAAGTATTAGGAAACTGAGGACTTTGTGATGCTAAAGAAAAATAGAGTAGGAAGAGCCAGTGGGTCGTCTGATGACTCAGTTTTTACAGGGGCATTTTCAAAGATGGAGAGTAAGGTATGCAAGCAAGGATGAATATGTGTAAGAGTTGTGTTCAAGGATGAGAGCACAAAATAAGCTGAGGCTTGCAAAAAAGTAGGCAGATTAAAAGAGCCTCTGGAGTTCTGGCGCAATTTGGTGATTGGGAAAGGAGTAATTGCTTTGGACTATTTGTATTTGTATTGCTGACTTATTCAATGAAAATAAATTTTTACTACTTTTGTCTTCTGTGTTAAGAACAAGGATGTTCAACTAAAAGGGTTTAGACATTAAATCCTACAACAGAGAAACAATTTGTGAAAAGAATTGCAGAGTCCTTTCTATGATCTTTGAGGAATGCTGGGGTCTTCAAGGGGAGCTTGAAGATCACAACCCCTCTTTCCTGCCCAAATCCTGAATTTTTAAGACAAAAGAGGACAGCATACAAGGGCCAAAATATCCCCTTTACTACCAAGAAAGCTGGTGCTGGAAAATGTGAGCTTCCTAATACTGAATTCCAAACCTATCCCCCAGTAATGGAATGGGGCAGTCCTCTGTCTAGGCTTGCTGCCAAGAACAAAAGAAAAGAGGCCTAGAGCCTTGTGATAAAGGGGGATGCCCCTCTGTGTGGAGCCTCAGATCAGAAATGGGAAAGAAGCACACCCCCTGCAAGGGAGTGAGGAGAATGGGGAAGTTTTTAAAACAATTTTTGAAAGAATATGGAAAGTGGCTTAAAGACTGATGAACTTGGTGCCAATTCCAGGCAAGATTCTAGACTAGATTATCAAAAAGATGGCTTTTGAGCACCTGTGATATAGAAATCAAGAATCATAACTTGCTAACAAGTTTGTAACTTAACTCATTTCCTTCATTGACTGGTAAAAAAAAATCTTGGATTATGAGAATGATATAGTTTTTGTATCTCTATTTTGACAAGCCATTTGACAAGCTCTCTTTGTTTTAGACAAGATGGAAAAATATAGGCTAAATGCGAGAATAGTTGTATGTATTAGTAAATCATTGATATTCCCAGGCTGATCAGTTTCATGTTGGAAGGAAGTTTTTAGTGTCATGCTACGAGATTATCCTCAACTCCATCAAGTTCAACGTTCCCATCAGTGACCAGATGGAGAGGGACCAGCCCTGTGGCCAAGTGGTTAATTTCACATGCTCCGCTTCGGCGGCCCAGGGTTTTACTGGTTCGCATCCTGGGTGCGGACATGGCACTGCTCATCAAGCCACGCTGAGGCGGTGTCCCACATAGCAGAACTAGAAGGGCCTACAACTAGAATATACAGCTATGTACTGGGGGGCTTTGGGGAGAAGAAGAAGGGAAAAAACAAAAAGATTGGCAACAGATGTTAGTTCAGGTGCCAATCTTAAAAAAAAATGACTAGATGGGGAAAAATAGACTGGGAATAAGTGAAACAATAAGGTAGAAAAGAACTTGGGGGAGTGACTGTTAAAAAGGTGACATATAATAGAGATTCCTTCATCTAATAGGTATTTATCAAGCATGTACTACATGCCATGCACATAAAGATAAATGTAAGGTACTTAGCCTGGATATCAAAACATGAATTAATAACATTTATAAACCCAGCTGCTTAAATATTACATGGGGGAGGAAGACATTTTAAATATTGTAGATTTTAATTGACAGTAGGCTTAGCATGTGAATTTGGAGTTATGATGCACTCAGCAGAGAAATTGAGGTCTTAGGCATTGTTAATAAAAGCATGGCTTTTAACAGAATGGTTAGTAGTGGCCAGGTCTGCTCAGTATTAGACTATGCTAGAAAATGGCTTTTCTGTTCTGGGCTCTGCATTGAGAAATTGAATGTAATATGGTGAAAGAACTGATCATATTTAGCCTGAAGATGAGACGCAAAGGAATTGTAATCATTGTCTCTAGACATTTGAAGACCTGCCCTGTGGAATAATATGAACATTTATGGAGTGCATTTCTAAGCATTTGACGTGGATTAACTCGTGAAATCTTCAACCAACCACTGACATTAATATTACTCTGATTTTGGACATAAGGAAAGTGAGGCTCAGACATGTTAAATAAATAACTTGCTCTGAGTCTCACCCTTACAAATAGCAGAGCCAGGCCATCTGCCTGTCGGACTAAATTCTTGACTAGTGTGCTACTTGCCGCTCTTGGAAGAGAATTAAGTTTATTCTTCATGGCACTAACTGATTCAGTGGGTTCATTGGATGTTTTATGGCACATTTCCAGTAATAACCTCTCAGACAAAAGTCATAGTCATTAAATTTTTTTTTCTTGTAGGTATTTTCTTGATTGTAAAATTCATAATTTTTATTGTAGAGAAATTCAGAGTCTAAGAAAAAGAATTAAAAAGCTCTTACCAACACTCAAAGATAACCACTGGTAGCACTGTGGTATATTTCTCCCAATCGTTTAATATTTTTCAAGGAAAAAATTGATGATGCTTGCTTTAGATCTATCCAGATATTTTTTACTGAAAATTTTTTTTTTATTTTGATAAATTCTGAAAGTTCCTCTCTTTTGGCTAGGTTTCTGCCTCAATGCTCAAACAGTTTCCCAACAGTGGCCTGAATCCAGGTCTTTTCAATGTGGGGCCCCAGTTATCTCCTCAACAAATTGCCATGCTGAGCCAGCTTCCACAAATTCCCCAGTTTCAGTTGGTAAGTGACAGATTTTCTTCCTGTAGCTAAAAAGATTATTCACCTTTTTTTTTCCTTTAGCTTTGATTTCCTTCATTTTATGCCAACTGTTGAGTGTGCCTAAGGGTTGGGATATCAGCTCAACTGGAGGTAAACGTGACCAATAGGCCAGGAAGTGGATGGTACTTCCCTCATGGACACTTTTGATTCAGCAGCCTGTACTTTCACGCACAAACTCTTCCAATGTGCTCAGCACGTCCATCTCAGGAGACTTTGGTCCTCTCTCTCTCCCCTGTTTTGTAGGCATGTCAGCTTCTCTTGCAGCAGCAGCAGCAGCAGCAATTGTTACAAAACCAGAGGAAGCTTTCTCAAGCTGTGCGCCAGCAGCAAGAGCAGCAGGTATGTGGGGGTGGAAGGGTCCCTCTAGGGCTCTTTGTGACGAGTGCATCTCTGCTTAGCCTGCTTGATAGCAAAAAAGAATCATATGCAGTCTTTTCCTATGAAGTTCTGGATGTTGGCTTATCATGTCTCCGTTTTCCCTTGTGCCTCCTCCTCACTCTGGACTCCTCACCTCCAGCTGGCTCGAATGGTGAGTGCGCTCCAGCAACAGCAGCAGCAGCAGCAGCAGCAGCAAAGGCAGCCTAGCATGAAGCATTCGCCGTCTCATCCTGTTGGGCCCAAGCCACATCTGGACAACATGGTACCCAACGCTCTGAATGTGGGGCTCCCAGACCTTCAAACCAAAGGGCCAATACCTGGCTATGGTTCTGGTAAGTTGTTAGTGATGAAAACTACCTTTCTTTTTCTTTTCTTTTCTTTTTTTTATATCTGCTGATTATGTTCTAAGCCTATGGTAGAAATTGGACCTACATTACCCTCTGTTTTCACAAAGGCATACAAGGTAGATAAATATTCTTATCCTTGTCTTAGAGATGAGATATCAGAGTTATTAATATCTAGAGTGTCAGTGGTTTTCTGAAGCTCACCACACAATTAGTAAATAGTAGTAAATATTATTAGTAATAAATTGGTATTACTAAATAACTAGCTTTTCTGACTCCAAAGCAGTCTTTTACTATTCATGATTGGCAGTCTGCTCGCCTACCACCAGGAATTTTTAAAAGCCAGTTTACGTGTTTGTACATGTTGTGAGTGCTACACAGGTCTGAAGTTATTTTCTATTAAAATATGTACACGTTGAGATGTTTAGCTCTACTAATAAAATTGCCTTCTCTTGAGAAAATGGAAAATTAAAATTATAAAGCAAACTGATAAAATTCTTCTGATATTAGTATTTCATCTGATTTAAATAGTATTAGCACAAGTAAGGTTATCCCTTTGACATTCATCAAGAATTTGTTGGCAGGCAAATGGTAGCTCTTTCAGAACTGGGGAACATGCTGTAAGCAGAATCCAATCAGTGACGCATAGCGATTTAAAAATAAAATTTAAGAATTAAAAAGGCACTACACACCACAGTGAGTTTCGAGAGCGGCAACATTTAGATTTTATTTTGGTAAAGAAGATACTGTTCAATGCAAACTCAAAAACAAGAGTTGGGGAGACCTGAAATCCCCGTCTCCTGGGTGACAGTGACCCTGGACAAATGGCCCTGCTCTCTGTGCTTTAGTTCTGTGAGGTGCCCACTTCCTGCTGGGCTGTCCGCATGCAGAAAAGAACAAAGACTTCAAGCGCTCCTTGATCCTGGATAGTTTTAAGGGAGTTAATTTCCAGATTCTCAACTTCCATTAGCTGTACTTCTTCTTTAAAATGATCTGCCTGAGAACTGACTTAAATTAAAATAAGCTTTCTTCTACTTGACATAAAAGAAGGACAAACTCTCCACAGTATCCCATGTCATACTGGGGCATGCTCATCTAGGGTGTAGAACACGGGACACCAAGCAAGGAAGAAGCTTCCTGTAATGACTAATGAAAGTGCCCTCACCCCTGGGTGTCCAGTCTTCACCTTCTTAATCATGTTTTCCGTTAAGGATGAAGCTTGACTTAAGAACCTTGGTATTTTGGTATGTTTTGAGTTGTTCTGGATTTAGACACCATGTGTGATGATAAAGCAGGGCCGCGTTGCTTCTTCCATCCCCCTTAGTCAAAGAGTACTAGTTCCCGAAGTAGAGCCCAGGCCATTCAGAGCAAAGAAAGCATCTGGAAGCCACAAGTGGCTTTTCCATGTTTCAATACACACAGTTATTTTCAGCTCTTCTCAGTACTCATCCCTAGGGCATGTCTTAGGTAGAAAGAAAAGCACCTTCAAACAGTTTGAGCAGTCTCATTTAGTGACACTGACTCTTAAATACACGTTTCACAGTGCATCAGGTAAAGCCTGTGAATAAACTGTTACATGATTTCCTTTAGGCTGGGTATGCATTAGTCAATTAGTTGTTGAAAACCTAAAATCATGATGTATTTATTCCAATGACAGTCCTTATAACATCTTTAATATTTTCTGCCTCCTATTAAAAAGTAAAACTATATGTTGGCTGCCAATCTGTTAGTTTTTACAGCATATTCTTTCTCATTTATTCAATATATTGAACAATTTTATCATGATGTCTTGTTAGATTAATGGTGGTGTCATTATTGTAATCGAGTCTTAACTGTTCATAATGGCTGAAGGATCAGAGTTCAGAATACACACATACATACATTTACCAAAGAAATATCATGATTTTTATCATACTCCTGTTTCATAAGTAACTTGTGAATTTAAGTAAATTTAAATTTAGCCTTATGCTTCATAATCCAAATTAAGTAAGGGAAAGAACGTATTGACTTACTAACTTGTTTACATTTGATAACTTATTAAGTAATAGATAAATTAATTTCATTAGGTCTTTATTGTATTAATTGTGATCTGACCACTTAGAATCTACCTTACAAGATGCATTTTCTAATTTATTTCACAGCTATAATTTTTCCTAATTCATATTACCACATTTATTTGAATTGAAAAATACACTTTGGCACTGAAAGTAAGTCTGATTTGGCTGCCTGTTTTGAATAAACTAAATCTGTACCTATAAGATTTAGATGAAAATATATTCAAAGTATATACAGAGATTAAAATTTTTTCAAAAAAAGACTATATGGCAAAGATGTAATAAAGTGTATATTTCATTTTTCTAATGCTGAGTATATGAAACTAAGAAAAGATACCTGTGGTTGAAAAAGAAGTGAGAATAATTGAAAGTTTCCTAATGTCTTGATTAAATCCTCTTTTGGTATGTTTTCTCAAAACTAAAAAGTTGAATGACTGCTTAACTAGTCTTTAAATGATTGTTTTTCTAAAATAGATGGTTTCTAATTCTGCTTTTAGCAAAATTGAAAGTATGCCTAATTGACTTGTCAGGTGATAATGACCTATCTAAAAATTGTTTTAGTATCTATGTTATCGAGCTGGGGGACAGGAAATATATCTAAACAGGAATTCAGAGAAGCAAATGTTAGAACAAGACTCCTCCTTTTCCCGTCTCCTTATTTATATAAGATTTCTTAGTGCTTCATGTCTACAAGTTTTTAAAAATAGGAATAGAGTAGCGTGAACTTGGACTCATTCTAGTAATAAGTCATAGTCATTCATAGATAATCTGAACTAGTCGAGAAACAGAGACACTCGTCTCATTAGAAAATACATTTCCAATAAAATTTTACCTTTTATGTTTAAAATTTATCAAAATTTGGAATATTTATGTATATAGTATACCCAATGAAAAGTAGAGTTATGAATGTTAGAGATTATTAAAATAGCAGAAGAGTAATTTGTGTGTATGCTGGGGTTATAAATGTGTGAATATCACGTGTGCATGTGGGCATGGATTAGAACAGTTGAGTTAAATGGGCACCTGTGAGGGATTTTTTCTTTTATAATTTATTCTTTATTATAATTATTTTAAAAGCAGTAGTTTGTGTTTTAATCTACAACAAAAGGAGTAGCAGAAAACAGAGAACTGTAGACAAAAGGAGTGAAGGAGTGATCAATTAAGGACAAGAATTCAAGAGCTTCCTCAAGGAGGTAAGCCCTGAGCCAACTGGTCCTGAGGAATAGAAGATAAATTAGGGTGCGAGGAGGCAGGAGAAAGTGATTCTGTCCAGGACAGATAAGGTAGCAAAGGCTCGTATTTGTAAGAATGGTAAGATAGATAAAAAAAGGATGTACTGGTGAAGTGAGTCCTGGGGAGGCAAGGGGCATGTCATATCTCTAGTTTGTTCCGCAGCTCCTAACACAGAGCCTGGCACAAATTAGGCTCGTCATAAATAGTCATTGAACTGAACTAAACGGGTCATTTGATTTGAGTTAAAGTTCTGTGTTGGAGAGCTGGAGTTACAGGGAGTCCGCTTGGTGGACGAAGGAAGTTTGGTTTTGATGAAATAGCAAGTATAGTAAAGGTGGTGTTTCCTGGATTTAGAGGTCTGAGAGCTCCTAGAGAGCCAACAGCTCACAAGTGAGTGCCCCTCTGCTTTCTGTGAATGCAGCCACCAGAGCACAGAGCTGCCGAATTCCCTCCATCCAGACTTGTTGAGCGCATTCTATATGTAATGTCGTGCCAGTTACCGTCTGACATCGAAGAAAGAGTTGTGTACAACCTTGCATCGAGTTTTCCTCTCATAGCTTTGGGTTTGTAGATTAAACCTTTCAAGACAGTTTTATCTCCTTTTGTCCCTCTCACCTCCTTCGGTTCTTTTTCCTTACCAACCTTTGTTGTTTAGTTATAATGCTGCCATATTTTGGTGGTGTCTGATCGCCAGGTTTCTGAGAACGAAAGATGCCCGCTTTGCCTAAGGTTCAGATGGAACTGCTCAAACTCTCCCAAGATTTATAACTCTTATTAATTTGCTACACTTCATGTGTCACAAAACAACTGTGTGCAGCTGAAATTAAATATTTCTAATTCACTGTGAGTTAAAGAAATTTTAGAGCAACTTTAAAGAAAATGTGTAAGGGGGGCTGGCCCCGTGGCCGAGTGGTTAAGTTCGCGCGCTCTGCTGCAGGCGACCCAGTGTTTTGTTGGTTTGAATCCTGGGCGCGGACATGGCACTGCTCATCAAACCACGCTGAGGCAGCATTCCACATGCCACAACTAGAAGGACCCACAGTGAAGAACATACAACTATGTACTGGGGGGCTTTGGGGAGAAAAAGGGAAAAAAATAAAATCTTTAAAAAATAAAAGAAAATGTGTAAGGAATGGTTCCTTATCTTTTTATTAATCCGTACTTTTTTCTTCTTTTTAGTCTTCCCCAGAATCCTGGGTTATTTTTAAAAGCTCTTTCCCAGTGGCTGGAACTGGGCATTCAGAGGGCCAGCCGTCCCAGCACCGTGCACTGGTTTTCTCTGTCAGAGCTGGCGTGGTTTGCCTGAGGAGCCACGCACTCAGGCCATTGGAGCTTAGTCAGAGAAAGCTCCTGTTCCTTTCAGCTTCCCTGTCCTCCAGCCTCATTTCATTTCAGATACACAGGACAAAAGAAGAAAATATCTTCAACTTTTTTTTAAAAAATCGTTTAATTTGAAAGATTTCCAGCTCGTTCCAAGGATTTCTGCTCCCCACCGTCACCCTCCAAGCGGTCACTTGGACTAGTAAAGGCAGTTACAGACAGTGTGAGGCACAGTGTTCTTTATATTAATAGCAACGTTTTAGACATAGGTCAAGAAGGTATTAGACATGATTTGAACTTGATTTATTATGTGTTTATAAAACTATCCCTGACAACTGGGAGACGCACGGGGGAGAAAAGGTGACCTGGGCCCTCTGGGATTGGGATAAATGGAACTCAAGGGCCAGGGAGACACCCCCAGATGGTAGGAGAGTAAGACGAGTACAGCGTGGAGTCGGCCTGGCAGAGCTGCACACCTTCTCTAGTAACAGTGGCTTGGCCCCGGGCTCCTGCGGGCTGGCCGAGCGTTGGAGTTGGGGGAGCCCCGCTCGCTCACCTCCCTGGGAGGCCTGTGCGTGTGTAGTTGCTACATTTACTATGGCTCTTTCTCCTTTTCCTGTGGTTATTCATTGTTCTCCCCCTCCTCTGTCTCATGTGTTTATTTTAGTCCTTGATTTTACTTTTCTGACAGTTTGAAAAAGTATTAAGTACCTTCTGACCCAGAATGGACGGTGGACCCTGTGAGACTCCATCAACAAGCCTCTCACACTCGTTTCACCTGTGCAGTGGGAAACATTACCCCTCTACACTCTCACTGAAAGCCCGACACCCAAGGCTTACCTGGCGGCTCATGGCAAAGTAAACTCTGAACTCTTGCTGACTCCTGTTCAAGCTCTGGGGTCTTTGTCGTTGCATAAAGACTTCTTTCAAATCGATCTCTCAGATTCTACCTTGACCTCCGTCTACCTGATTCTCACACTGCCAGTTCTCTTTCTAAAAATACAAACCCACTGGGGTCAGCCCGGTGGCACAGCAGTTAAGTGCACACGTTCCGCTTCGGGAACCCGGGGTTCGCTGGTTTGGATCCCTGGTGTGGACATGGCACTGCTTGGCACACCGTGCTGTGGCAGGCGTCCCACATATAAAGTAGAGGAAGATGGGCACGGATGTTAGCTCAGGGCCAGTCTTCCTCAGCAAAAAGAGGAGGATTGGCAACAGTTAGCTCAGGGCTAATCTTCCTCAAAAAAATAAATAAATAAAAATAAAATACAATACAAACCCAGTTATCTCTTCTCTCCCTTGTTTAAAAATTTCTTTATCTCCTGTCTTAAGGGGAAAAGGTCTGAACTCCTTGGCCTAACACTTAGAGACCCTTCAGGACTTGACTCTTCATTTCTCCTCCATCTGCCTTACTTCATCCATAGTTAGCCAAGCGCTGGAGTCACATTGAACTCCTCCTCATTCCCTAACTATGCCTGATTGTCGTCAGAGCTTTGTACTTGGTTTCCTTGACTAACTCGCATACCTGCCCTAGGCCCTAGATCATATGTCCCTTCTTGTGCAAAGCGTTTCCTCCCCCAGGCATCCTTACTACAACCTCGTAGCTGCTGTTATACCACCATAGTGGGTTGTTGTGTAGACATCTCCATTTCATGGGGGGAATCACTGGTCCCAGCATTCTCTCTGGCACAGATGTTCCCTAAATGAATAAGTGAATGCACAAGATCTGGGATGATCTTAATTAGATGTCAGTCATAACACATTTTCATACCTTATCAAAGAGTCATCATGTTTTTAGCAAGCAAGAGCCAAGATCAGCATTTTGAATCAAAATATCTGTTTCTGAGTGAAGAAACTTCTTGTGAATTAGTCTTTCAGTGACAGATGAAGCTGTTCATGGATTCTGCCTCAGAAGTCTTAGTTACTGATAGTAGAAGTTTATAGAAAGACATAAAATGTGGTTCTCTGTTTTAGGCTTCAGCTCTGGCGGCATGGACTATGGCATGGTTGGTGGGAAGGAGGCTGGAACAGAGTCTCGCTTTAAACAGTGGACCTCCATGATGGAGGGACTGCCCTCTGTAGCCACACAGGAAGCCAATATGCACAAAAATGGTAAGAGCAAGCAAAGTCTTATGAGCTGGCACTGTTCTGACCCTCAGCAGGCCTTGGTGAAGTGTCCTGTAAAATTATTCGGAAGCACAGATCTTTAGCTCTTTCTTAATGAGTCTCTTGATTTTTTTTTCCCCCAGATCTTATGATCAGCTATGAGAGGAAGATTGGGGTTGTGTGTATTCCAACTTATAAGAAACTTAAAGTGCTAGTTCTAATTAAGGGAGCAAAATTGCCCACCGGCAATTGGATTGAGGGTAATAGCAGTGAACTTGAGCAAGCCCATTAGGGTAAAGCCCTAGTAAATTGGCTGAAAGAATAGAATAAGGTTTTTTTGAGGTGCAAGAGATCACAACAAATATATTTGATTTCATGTTAATTATTTGAACCCTGTAATCTCCAGAAGATGACTAGTAGATCGATGTGTGAGATGTGAACTCTCCACAAAGCTTTCTAGTTCTTTGTGAATTACGGTATCTGCAAGACAGCAATTGAGGGCGTTGCAGGCTTGGGTCGTGAATGTGAGTCAGCCCTTCATCTCCATAATTCTCTGTGAGAGCTTCTCCATTTCCCTGGAAAGCAGATAAAAGATATTAGAAGCTTCCTTCCGCCTTTGTTTCAATGTTTGTTTTGTTTGACACTAATTCACTTGGACTCAACTGTATCCATGAGAACCAAATATACATAGGTGTCGGGCTGCCTCTGCCGCAGCTCCGCCCGTCAGGAGGCCTTTCAGGATTCCTTTATAAACCCATCCGGGAGGCTAGTGAAGTGGCCGCCTGGAGCTCTCTGCCTGCTATCCCTAAGCTTTATCATTTGATTTTGTGCTACAAGATCAAGAATGACTTATTGAAACTATCAAATCTGTTTCTGGACTGAATAAGCCAAGCCCAGCATCTATTGCTTTGGGCACTTACCCTGCTTCCTTAGGCTGATGATTCATCAGTCCTCTTGTCCCCAGAAGACATGACAGGTGGGTGATGATAAATACAAAATGGCATGTGAGAGGAGACCTTGCAGGTAAACCATCCAGTTGTCTTTGTAGAGCTTATAGGTAGTGTTCTCCCCATTTCCTTAGCAATCCCCAAGGTGTTGTAGCTTTTCGTTTTCTCCTCCTTCACTGTAATGTACCCTCGAGTCAAATTGCTGTCAGTGACTCCAGAAAAGAAAATGACTTCCTAGCTGAACATGGAGTTGGTTTTGATGATGTTCCTGCTAGGCCAAAGCAAACAGATTGTTTTAATCAATACTTAGACAAAGGTTTTAATACATTACCCTGGAAATAATTTTGTCTTTTCTGAATCAGCATCCTATGAGTAGATGAAGTGACACAATACAACATGTAAAATTCATTTGAAAAATAAGTAGAATGGTATCTCACAGAGGTGGAAAATTTTATTTAAAGTAAAGCTCATTTTTTGTGAGTTTAAGGGAGTTTTAAGCTTTTCATTTTCGCCTGCCTTGTGGCATATGAAATGCGTGAAGGGGGTACCGACAAAACCGCTGAAATGCCCTCGGGAAGGCAGGGACAAAGGGCTTGCTGTTCTCCGTGTGTGGGGCCCTGGCTCTCAGAGCGGCAGAGTGCACTGCTGGTCTTGTGCTGGCAGAGACCCGAGGCGGGAATTCCATCTCACTGCTTTGGAATTTAAAGCAATTGCAGATGCTTTCTTGCCAGTGGACTCCCCGTTTACACTGCTGCTTCCAGCTAAGCTAGGCCTGATCAGCACTTGAGTACTTGGGTGGGTAGTGTCAGCAGAAAAGTAGATAAAACCCTCCTATGTGCCACAGATTGTTTTGTATTTTTCCTATTTCTCATTCTTGAGTCATTAGTATAAAAACTGTGGGAATAATGGTATGATTCGTAGTTTATGAAAGTTTCCTTAATTTCATAAGACCATGGAATTTTAAAACTGAAAGAAACATTCAAGAAGGAGAATAGTGCCGTGTGCATAAGTGAGAAACGGAGAGGCTCAGAAAGGTGAAATGGATTGTCCATGGTCAGACTGCTCGTTAATTATATACTGGCTCTCGGGTGGGACCTCACATTCCAGTGCTCTCTTGACTGTGTAAGCTTCAGAATACTGTATTGGTTTGAGTTCCTCTGAATGAAAGATTGACTGGTTCTGTTCACAGGCGTCCTTTCTGGGTGTGAATTAATTTCCTGTCTCTTTTCTCAGGCGCTATAGTGGCCCCTGGTAAGACCCGAGGAGGGTCACCATATAACCAGTTTGATATCATCCCGGGTGACACGCTGGGTGGCCATACGGGTCCTGCTGGTGATAGCTGGTTACCTGCCAAATCTCCACCAACAAATAAAATCGGAAGTAAATCCAGCAATGCCAGTTGGCCTCCAGGTATTGTCCAGGAGATGTTTTTTCTGAGATACCATTTGTTTTTTAATTGTTAACTTCGGGTTCTGAACAGATTGCTTTTGCCACCCACTTTACTAAGGCACTCACTTTCAGTAATTACTGTCTGATAAAAGCAAGACATGTGCTATGCTCAGGGAAGACAGAAAATTTTCTTTAGATGGGTTCTCTGCTCTATAGAGTTCAGTCAGGAAGGTAAGGTTGTGGACACTGATCACCTTCAAGGTAAGTTACCACGTAGTAAGTACTGGACAGGTATAGATAAGCCAAAGGAAGTCAGAGGAGTGGAATCCGGGGGTAAAAGAAGGTGATGTTAGGGGCTAGCCCAGTGGCACAGCAGTTAAGTTCACATATTCCACTTCTCAGTGGCACGGGGTTCCCCAGTTCGGATCCCGGGTGCAGACATGGCACCACTTGGCAAAAGCCATGCTGTGGTAGGCATCCCACGTATGAAGTGGAGGAAGATGGGCATGGATGTTAGCTCAGGGCCAGTCTTCCTCAGCAAAAAGAGGGGGATTGGCAGTAGTTAGCTCAGGGCTAATCTTCCTAAAAAAAAAAAAAAAAGATGGGGGGAGATGTTGGAGCCAGGACTTAGCAGCATTCATCCATGCATAGGATGCCTTGTAACCTGGGTTCTTCTGAAACATCCTTTGAATTGATTTGTTTATTCATTAAGCAAGTATTTATTATCAGTTAGGCTCCAACTATACAGTAGTGAGTGCAATTAGACTATTTGTTGCTTTCTTCTTCTCTCTCTCTCTCTTTAATTTGATATAAGTAATCTGTTTTCATTGTAGAAAAAATTTTAAAATTTAGTAAAACAGAAATAAAAATAAAAAATTTGGTATATGTCCTAACTCTCTTTCTCTACAGATGTATTTGTGGTATGATTATGTATAGTTTCATTCTATTTAAATACGATCATACAATGCATATTGTTGATATATAATACATATTGCTCTTCCTGATCATGATTAGGAAAGTAATTCATTATTTCTATCATATAGCTTTAAATATGATTTAAATTAACCAATAAGAAAATTGAAAACACTTATACATATTCTAGGCTTTTTCATGATAAGTCAAATTATTTCTGCCGGTTGCCCCTGGACATTCTCCATAGTAGTGGTCATTTATATTACATTTTCTTTTATGTATCTGAGCCAGTTTCCAGTGAGATAAATGGGAGAGATCACTGATCTCTAAATCAGATTTTCTCCTGGTTCTTATCGTAGATGCCTGGAAGGTTCTGTTGAGCACCAGACTACTTAATCCTGCCTCCCTGCCCTCGGGCCTGAATTTCCCTGGTAGCAGGCAGAGCAGGTACTGGGGCCAGGCACTGATGAGCAATGACATCAAGTTCACAAGCAGAGAGACACAGAGAAGTTCGACCTGTTGTGATAACTCAAAGGTGCTGCTGGCACAGTATATGTTTAGGCTGACTTTTAAAAAAAGAATTTTGATGAAAGTCTGAGATAAAAAAGATGCAGTATTTAGACTTTTCAGAGATCTATTTCTGGTATCAAACAATAACTTCATTTTACTGTTTTTTGAACAAACGCCCACCTCTAATATTTGTTCTTCTTGTCTCAGAATTCCAACCAGGAGTGCCATGGAAAGGTATCCAAAACATTGACCCTGAATCTGACCCCTATGTCACCCCAGGAAGTGTACTGGGGGGTACAGCCACATCTCCCATTGTAGATACTGACCACCAACTTCTGCGGGATAACACCACAGGTAAGTAAGTAAGATAGCCCTTGTGTTTATTCACCACCCAACATTTTTGTTTTTGTCAATCTGTGGCTTCATTTCTACTTGCCAGTACCTAATAATTTAACCAGAAAACATAAGAAATATGTAGCTTTTCATATTTATCTTTTAGATATATTTTGTTCTTCTCTCTATTGAAAGTTAAATAAAATGCTTAAAGGTTTCACTGGTTATATTGACATCTATCTGCAATATTTTTGTCTTGTTCTTCATGTTCACCCAAAGGGTCTAATTCTTCCCTCAACACCTCGCTGCCTTCACCTGGTGCCTGGCCCTACAGTGCCTCTGACAACTCCTTTACCAACGTTCATAGCACTTCAGGTACGAGTGTGACCTGTTTGTTTCCCTTTGGTTAGCACTCTTCCATCAGGTTCCCTTTTACAAAGGAAATTGGTGTTTATTTCTTACGGAATACTTTTACAGAAGTTGAATAGCGTGGGTCAGCATAGATGGAGGCACACCTCTTGTATTGGTCATGTCCTTGAGGAGCTTCCAGTCTCCCAGAGGTAGGATGAGACAAATGGCTTTAGGACAAGGCAGATGGTGACATAATTGCGGGGAGCTGTGGGTGTTGAGAGGGCAGAGGTTATATCCTGACGACACAAGTGCTTTTCTTTCAACCAGTCTGCCAGGAGCCTCAGAGGCCATGGGAAGAAGCAGTTAAGTCCAGGTGGTTATTCCCAAGGCAGCCAATTACAGCTTGCTTTTCTCTAAAAATCCTTCCACTTACAAAGGCTAAGGGCAGATGGCCAAGGGAAAAAAAGAGTACTTTTGATTAATTCGACCAACATTTGTTGAATTCCTTGTGTTTTTTTGAAAGATAATAGGGAATGGAAAAGTTACTGGATATAATAAAGCCTTTGAAGTTACTCACATAACACAATGCCTTATGGATTGGGGACAGATCATTAGTAATTGGTAGACAAATCACCTTGGTCTTGCAGAAGTTGAACTTGAAGCCATTAAAGTAATTAAGGCTTCTGATCTTTGTCCAGGCAAAAACAAATAAAACAAATCCTTAGCTACCTACTAAGACACTGCAGGTTAATGACCTTACAAATTGTCGTCTCTTCTTTTTCTTTCCACCTCTGTGTTGTATCAGCAGTGCAACAATAACCTATCATTTATCGAATGCTTCTGTAGACCAGGCTTGAATTCTAATCTTACCTTCACCAAAGTCTATGGGGCGGTCCCGGTGTTATCCCCGTGTTGTAGATGAAGAAACTGAGATTCAAAGAGCTGATAGAATTTGCCTCAGGTCTGAGTGAGTGTGTAAAGGAACGACTCAACACTCCGTGTTTCTAACCACCACCCTAGATTATACTTCCTCCTTCACATGTGAAAACTCATTTTCATCTAGCTCTTCTGTTCCCGTAACTGCCCATATCTCAGGTTGACCTATTTTATCTTTTGTCTGCAATTGAACATTCACCTGAGAGATGACCCAGAAATCACTCCAGGCTTGTCTAAGACTGAACGTATGCTTTCCCACCCCCAAATTTGTCTTTCCTTCTTAACTAAACTCTTTATTTTTCTTAGTGATGTTCCCTTGCATCACTTAGTCACAAAATCTTAGTATTTTCTCACTCTTTCCTCTTCCCCTGGATCCAGGCAGTGATGATGTCTCCTGCGTGGTTTATTCTGCAGTCGTGTCTCTCACATCCATTTGCTCTCGCCCAGTTTAGACCCTCATTTAAACACTACCTGCTCAGTCTACTGCAGAAACTCCTGATAGCATCTTCATCAGCCCCCAGCCTGTCTTTATGGCCTCCTTTACCTCTCTGCCCTGTGAAGTGTTTAGCCAGAATTGGGGAAAAACATATTTAGTACAGAGAGAGTTTAAGTTGAACCTTGGTTTGTATTCTCCTGTCTCTCTGAGCCCATCCATTTATGTCAATCCTTTAAGACCTGTCTTTGCAAAGCCTTTGCTGACGGCCCAGCTTTGTCTTTCTTCTCTGAGTATTGAACGTATATAATGTTGCCTGGGGTTACCAATTCTGTTGTTCATCTGTTCTGTCTTCCCATCTGAACTTGCAGTTCTTGAGAATAACTGTTTATATTACCCACAACACTGATTCAGCGCCTTAAGACATAGTATCCCTTTAGTGAATATTTGTTCATTGTGTTTAAAAGATCTGTTTGAATGTTGACATCTAATACTCTGGATTAAGAAAAGTATAATTTTCTAATGTACTTCCATTTGGTCAATAAATATTTATAAAACACTTTTAGTTTTGCTAAGGTTCATATTCTACTGTATCTGTAAGACTAATGGCTTTAGGAATACTTTCCTTGAATTTATCTTCCCTTTCAGCTTGTGTCTAGCTAAGAAAGCAGTAGAGAATTAGTTATCTTATTAAATCTTTGGTTTATGTGTTAATTGGTCAATTCAGAGTAATAGTCATTGAAAATTTTGTATTTCATTGGCTCAAAGAACAATGTTATTTTGTATTGCTACTCTTAAAATGTGCACTTACTTTTTTTAGACTATAAATGTGTATGTATCTATGTGTATGTGTGTGTGTATATATATATATATACACACACACAAAATTTATGTGTATTTATTGACAAAAGTCACCTATCTAACCTTATTCCTTCCTGATTTTCTCATCTTATAGCAAAGTTCCCTGATTACAAATCAACATGGTCCCCAGATCCCATAGGACACAACCCCACTCATCTCTCCAACAAGATGTGGAAAAACCATATTTCCTCAAGGAACACTACACCGCTGCCCCGCCCACCTCCTGGTCTGACCAACCCCAAACCGTCATCTCCCTGGAGCAGCACAGCACCCCGATCAGTCAGGGGGTGGGGGACACAGGACTCACGGCTTGCCTCGGGTGAGAAGGATCTGCCTAAGGAGCACCAGGGTTCAAACACAAGGGGCCTATGTTAACACAAATGGTGAAGACATGATGAAGTCTTCATGAGAGAGGCAATCACAGTTGTCTGGTAGAGGAAAAAGTATCTCCTGAATGAAAAGTCACAGTCAGTATAAGGCAGAGGGACCCAAGAGCTCCCGAGGTAGCGATGGAATAGACATGACGAATGACGGAGTGAGAACTGGGAGAAAAGCATTGTCTTACAATAAGGCACAGAAGTGTGTAGGGATCAAGGTCCAGGAGAGGGGAAGTGGCTGTTCAGTGACGAGACACAGAAGGCCAGAGTGAGGTCGCAAAGGAAAGACAGTGTACAAAAGGAGAGAAGAAACGTGCGGGCCTTGTGAAAATGTTTCTTGCTCAGTGCTGTCTTCAATTTTTGCTAGCTCCTCCTGATCTTTTTTTTCTGGTTGCTTACAGCCTCTACCTGGAGTGATGGTGGTTCGGTTCGTCCTAGTTACTGGCTGGTTCTTCACAATCTCACTCCGCAGGTAATCATGCTTTCTTGTGATTTTCTAGAGAGGACTTGATTGTGTGAAGAGAGGGGAACTCAGAGATGTGGGAGGTTGGCAGGTGGAAGAGCTCGTTTATTTCCTGGTCGCTGCAGAGAGTCCAGCCTGCAGGGTGGGTCTCCTCATCCAAGGCTTGAAGCCTGCTTCTGAATGGAGGATGTTGGCTACTCAGCTGCATGCCCGTCTTCAAGGTGGTGTTAACATGGGTAGTTTATAAGATAATGAGAGTGGGGTGGTCTTAGCCGGTGAATTCTGTTTAGCAGCGATAACTTGGTGTGTAAGATGTGCCTGTCAGAATCTGGAACCAAGTGGGAAAGGGATGTTTCAAGTGTTTTAACCACGTGCAGAAAAATTACCTGTTTTTGTGTTAGTTATTCAACAAGACTTGAGTCTCAATGTTAACCATTTTTATGCTTCATAAGTATTTAACCATCCATCTCTGCAGTAGAAGGAATCTGTCGATTTCATAGCTTAAATGCCACATAGGTGCTTTTAATTTTCCATCTGTTATTCTCTCTCTGTAGATGGCATTACTCATTTGCTCTTACTAGGACATGCCCTCTGGGTTGTTTATCCAGTGGAGGGGTTTCATTCCCACCAAGCCACTCTCCCTTCACCTCGGTTGCTTGATAACTGATGTATTTGCAGCAGCATTATGTTGAGCACGCAAATGAGGTTAAATGAACCCATCGAAACTGAGCCCATAACCTTCACTTGGACTTGACAGCACAACCTCTACAACAGCTTGTTAAAAGGAGTTAATTCTGCCTCTCTCCCTTTGACACATAGAATGGATTGTCTAGCATTTAATTCAGAAATGGATTTATGTTGGGACCGGCCCAGGGGCACAGCCGTTAAGTTCGCACGTTCCGCTTCTCAGTGGCCCAGGGTTCGCTGGTTCGGATTCTGGGTGGAACATGGCACCGCTTGGCAAGCCATGCTGTGGTAGGCGTCCCACATATAAAGTAGATGAAGACGGGCATGGATGTTAGCTCAGGGCCAGTCTTCCTCAGCAAAAAGAGGAGGATTGGCAATAGTTAGCTCAAGGCTGATCTTCCTCAAAAAAAGAAGTGGATTTATGTATACTTTACTAAGCCAGCATTTTCCAGAGTATTCCCAAGGGATATTAACAGGTCTCTGGCCTAGTATGTTTGGAATGTATACTTGATTAAACAAAATTACGCAGGTTTCTTCACCGTAAGACTCCTTAGACCCTTTAATATGCTAACATGTATTGTGATCTCTGTGGGGAAATAGAGCTTCTCCTAAATTTATTTATCCATTGAACCCATTTGTGGGAGTAAATCCAGGGCTCGTATTTCAAGGTACGCGTGGAGAAAGGCAGTTTCCTAAATATAGTTAACATGAGGAGGAGTCTGGCTCAGCTCTTAATCTCTGTATCTAATCAACTCCGGGTTATTGTTTTAGCTAATAGTTGACTAAGTATGAAGATTTTATATAACCATCCTCAAAACTATATATGCCTCTTTATTTCTAAGTTGTCACACGGTATGGTGGGCATAATATGGTTAGGATGAGAGAAGCAATGAGGGATGTCCTGTGTTGAAAGGAACTGGGCAAGCTAACTAGCTGTTCACTTGTGTTTTATCAAATGAAAAATAGCAAGTACATGTGTATATATACATGAAATGAATATAGGGGTTGGCTGTGTTTGTATTAGAAAGAATTAATTTTAAATATCGAAACTACCTAAAAGGAGACTAAACTCAATCACAGCTTAAAATAAGGTTCTAAGGACAAATCTTTGGTACCTGGATAAATTTATTTTTATCACCTAAAAATTGTTTAGAGGACTTGTATCTGGAAAAGTCACTTGTGGCATACACTGGCATGCTTATATAGTTGATTGTCACTTATAAAACAATGCTAAGAGCTGTTTCTCCAATCATTTTCTGTAAAGAACTATGGTGAAATGGACGGTTTCCATCCTGCAGCGTTGCCATGGTAAAACCACAGAAATGTTTCTACTTCTGTCGCCAGTTATACAACTTTTTAAGGCTATTCCAATAGTAATCTGCTTCCCTTTGAAAGAAATGAACTGAAATGTTGGACTGAGCAGCTTAAACCTAGTTATGATCTTGATACAAATAAATTAATCAGAGTGAGTAAATAGATTTGTTCATCTGAGTCATAGGTAAGGGCAGTTATCTGTAATCACTGAACCTCTTAGTGTGACTAAGGTGAGCAACTACAGCCCTAGGTCGCGTTGGCTGAGGGAGGGCAGCAGAAGACACAGAGAGGTAGGTAGAAATAGTCTCACCCTGAGGTGGCCAGAATAGGAGTAAGAGGATGTCAGAATAGTCTGGAGCTAGGCCAGCCATCAGCATTTAAATCATCAAATCGATAGCAGCGCTTTTGTTGTTTGTGTCTTTCTTTTGAGCTCTTTGTGAGATTGTTAACTGGGGAGGTGGAAGAATACTGCATTAGTAATGATGCTGAGGACTTTGCCTGTGTTCTTAAATTCTAATTTGGGTACCATCTTATTTCTGCTTTTTGAAGCTCTACAAATCAGCACACGTTGACTTGTTAACCTCTTATGGAAAATAGACCACAGATTGAATCATATGCTTTTTGTTTTGAGCTGTATTTATACAGGCTTTTTTATTTGCAAAATGGGCACATTAGATCTCAGCCCAGTGTGTCGAACATCTTCAAATTTACCTTTAAGTCCTCTTCTTCAATACACCCTTCCCTGCTTTGAGTTCTTCATTCATCTTTCCAAGACTTATTTACTACTGATACTATTATTTACAAACCATCAGTCCTTCTCATTTTCATATGTAAGAAAGGTCACTTGACTTCCTTTCATGCTCCACCTCCAGTTTTTTTCTCACAAATGTCGTTACTCCTTAGATTGATGGGTCAACCTTGAGAACCATCTGCATGCAGCATGGCCCACTGCTGACATTCCACCTGAACCTAACCCAGGGCACCGCCCTGATCCGATACAGCACCAAACAGGAGGCGGCCAAGGCCCAAACTGCACTGCACATGTGAGTACCCATGCTACTCTCACTGAGACAAACACGCATGAAGATGTACACGTGAGTATTTGGCACCTGCCACCTGCTTCATTAAACAAAGATGCACAAGACCATGCACTAAAACAGCATCATTGCATCAGCAATTGCTTAGGTGCTGAGGTGGCTGATTTTTTCTACCTACTTAAGCATGGAATGTCCTCTTTGTATCATAGGCCGATAATGAGAATTGCAAAAGTAAAGAATTTGTGAAGTAGTGAGTAAATTTTAAGTACCATAAAACAAAGCCAATACTAATGAAAATGTGAAGCGTTGTAAGTGCTGTCACTTTTCATAATAGGATTTAGCTGCTTACTTTGGCTTCTTTGTGGGTGATGTTGAAATATTATGGTCTTGGCTTGGGTCACAGAGGTTTTGCCTGAAGTAGGTGGGACTGGATCAGACTTTGACCATCCCCCTTCCAGCCACCGTTAAATTGGTGGACAGGAAAGAGCTGACTCCCTGTGGCTGTAGATGCCACGACAGAAAGCTATAATCAAAGCAAGCTACTGATAGTGAGGCTCAGGCAGCAAGCCCAGCCCTGAGACACAGTGGCACTTCCAGGCGTCTGAGGCTGGGCACCTTGATGCTTAGGGTGTGATCTTTTACCTCTCATGGGGTACGAAAAGAGGTGACGTTTTTCTTGACATACAAATTCCAAATACCAAGGGATATTGATATATAGTACCCTTTCATAGAGCTTGGATGTCTTGGGATTTAGTAATACTTCATTGCTTTAAATCAGTACTTCTCAATCACCTGGCGGTCTGGTTAAAATGCAGTCTGTGATCCTGTAGGCTTGGGGTGGAGCCCATGAGTCTGCATTCCAAAAAGCATCCTGGAGAAGTAGAAGCTACTAGTCAAAGGACCACACTTTGAATAGTGAGGACTCAAAATTCTCAGTCCCTATGTGTGCTTTAGGATTTCCCTGAAATCCATAGCTGTTTCCCTTCCCTTTTTTCCAGGTGTGTGTTGGGAAACACTACCATCCTGGCTGAGTTTGCCACCGATGATGAAGTTAGCCGCTTTCTGGCACAAGCTCAGCCCCCTACACCTGCAGCAACCCCAAGTGCACCCGCAGCAGGTTGGCAGTCGCTGGAGACCGGCCAGACCCAGTCAGATCCCGTCGGACCTGCTCTGAATCTTTTCGGTGGGTCCACAGGGCTCGGGCAATGGAGCAGCAGTGCTGGTGGCAGCAGCGGGGCCGATCTTGCTGGCGCTTCGTTGTGGGGGCCCCCAAACTATTCTTCTAGCTTGTGGGGAGTCCCAACTGTGGAAGATCCCCATAGGATGGGCAGCCCTGCTCCTTTACTACCTGGTGACCTTCTGGGAGGAGGGTCGGATTCAATCTGAACTTAGAACTTTCAACTCTGACCTCGTGACCTTTTTTGGAACAGCAGCAGCACTAACTTGACCTTTTCGTTTTTTTTTTCAACTTGCAATAAATACATTTTTAAAAGGAAAAAAGAAAACGGAGAGAGAAAAAAAGGTGGGTCATTGACAGACTGTCTGAGCACATAGTTGCCTCCCTTATACCTTCAGTTTTTTTGTTTGGAATACGAATCCAAAAAGAGAACATATCACTCTTGAAATACTTGAATCATGAACGCCAACCTAGAAAGACAATGTGAAGCAAGTACACATACCATTTAAATTTAAACACAAAAAAATTAAAAAAATTAGTTTCTAGTTTTTCACTTTTTTCATGTTATATGGAAGTTGTTGCTAAGAAACATATATACTGAAAAAAAAATAGCTTTTTAACTTTGTTTGCACTGGGTGTGTTTCCGTCCTTAGGTCTACCATGTTTGGGAGGGAGGGGAATTCAAAAGAATTGTTGGGGTGGGGGGAGGGAAGACTTGACGGAGCCTCACTTTAAAAACAAAAACACAAAAAACCTAAAAAAAAAAAAAGGAAAAAATTTGTGATTGGCTGGTTGATAAATACCAGTGTGTTCTGGCACATGTAACTGCCCAGGCATGCTCGTTCTGGTATGTGTGTGCACGTGTGTTCATGTGCATTCGCGTGCATCCTTCTCTCTGTCTCTGTGTGTGTGTGTGTGCCTGTGTCCTCCTCCTCCTCCTCCTCTCCCTCCTCCCCCACCCTGAGTTCTCAGAAAGCTGCATTGCTGACAGTCCGCAGGCTGGCTGGCCGGCCATCTGCTTTTTGTTTTGTTTTTTTTAAACTATGAGAATACACAAGCACGGGGAGCCACTGCTCCTAAAGCGACTCCGTTGGGCTGCATGAAGATGAACAGAGTGCTTTTTAATGATTAAAGCAGGGAACTCCTGTACATTTGCAGAATAGCCTGAGTTGAGTTTTCTCTAGCTTTTCTTTTGACCTAGCAGTAAAGTGGAGCACTGCCAAGTCCACAAATTTAGGAGAGCAGGAGGTACCTCTTGGAGCAACTGTGTGTCTTATTTATTTTTGTTTTTTGAAGTAAGTGGACGCTAGGCATATCTGAATACCTGTTAAGTTTCACACGGGCCTTTTCGTTAGTTTGAATGGGAACAGACAATGAGATAGTTTTTAATTGTGTGATGTCTCAAAGGAGAAAAATTTTGTTCCCCCTTTCTTGCATAATCAGGTATGAGAAATTGATCAGAAAGTTAGGTAATGCTGAATTAAATATTTCTATTAGTTTTTCTTTTTCATTTTAAGAAAACGGAAACAAAATAAGTTGCGAGCAGCCTCCTGGAAGCATGCGCAGCTCCTCCCTCTCTGCTTCTCTCTTGCTGAGTGTTACCTGTGCCAGGCCGTAGCGTGTTACAGCACCGGGCCATCACTGACAGAAACGTTTACGTAACGAATGTTCTTAAACCAGTGTGTACTTCAAGCGTTTCCTTTGGTTCCTCTGTATTGTGTATTTCCTGTGTATGTGGTTTTGCTTAGGCAGGTATAACTTAGCAAAGACTTTAAGTATTGCACCTTTTTTTGGTTTTGACCTCTTATTATTTTTTTCCTTGTAATGTTGCTTTTTTTTATTTCGGTATTTAAAGACTTTTTTTTTTTTTTTTTTAAGCATCAATGTAGTAGTACTCTGGGCCGAATAGGGGGCAACTTTTAATCCACAGTTATCATCAACATGTATGTACTTATGTTGGAATCAAAATGTATCAGACTGCTTTTTGTGAAGAGAGTTACAGCAGCCCTGAAGGGGTACCCCTTTATACAAAGCAGATGGCTGGCGGGGCGGGCGGGGGGGGGGGAGGGGGACGTATGCCGGTAACGTGCTAGCACTTGTGTGGACATCCCAGTCTGCATTATACTGTTTAACATAAAGTGCCGACATTCTGTACCAGCAATTACCTGCCCATTCCAACCCTTGGTGGGAGCAGACCTCTGCTGTCCTCCATAACTTGCTGCTAGTGAGGACAAGGGAGTTTTTCTTTCTTTAGCATCTTCAGTGAAGGATACAACAATGCCTAATGTATTTGACTTTTAGCTTGTGTCTGTGTGTAGGTGGGTGGGTGGGTGGGTGTGTATAGGAAAAGGCAAAAGCGAATTATTTGCATTTAAGTGGTTTTGAGAGACAAAGAATGGGAATTCTGTAGTCCTCTCGGCTTACCCTGTTGATTATAAACCTAGCCTCAAAAGAGATTGACGTGCATAATTCAAGTGAGCATTCGCTCATACAAGTCTTTGTGAACCCTTTGTGGGTAGGTGGTCAAACTTGAGTTTCCAGCATTGGTTTGTTCTCATTTGATGCCTTGTAGAAAACTAACTGTGCCCTCCTCCTGCTCTCCGGTTTTCATCACCACCGTGCCCCTTCCACTTCTGCCCACGTACAAAATGTCTCCTTCCAGCCCCTACTGACTGCTCTCTTGTGTGTGGAGCAAAACCCTGTGTGTGGTGACCTCCAGGTGAAGAGCAGCTGTGTTAGACTTCTACAGAAGGCTAAATCTTAGTGTCCCTGGGCCAGGAGCATGTCCCGAGAGCCAGACGTGGCCCTGTCCACTGCCGCTCTTGGCTCCCTGCCGTGTCCTGCCCCACCCCCCTCTCCTGCCGTGGCTCCTGGACCTACACTATGGGTTAGTTGAGTCCTTACGATAATACGGTGAAAGCCGGGTGCTAGAGCCCCTCTTGTTTACAAGACATAATGAGGGATTTGAAATATGTAAAAATAAACATGAGAAGCTAAAATGTTCTTCCATCATAAGCTTAAAGGGAAAAAAATTAAAAACTTAAAAAAAGACCAAAAAGTGCGTATATATATATACATATAAATATATATTTTAGATGAAGACTAACTCTGGGAGCATTTAACAGTGTTTTTTGTTTTTGTTTTTAACATTTATTTTCCTGCTTTAAAATTTGCAAGCATTCTCAGGAATTCTAGGGTAGGAAGCCAGTTTTTTGAAGAAGGTTTATTTAACCGTATCTTATCCTAGATAGACGGCTGTTTCTTTCCTGTTAACAAACTTTTACAAGTTCCTGAAACTTCAAAAAGTTTAAACAATTTTTACTTAAAAAAAATGTAAAAAGAAAAGTCTCCAAACGTTATTGTCATACTGGGGATCACACATTTTAAAACACATAGAAAGAAATATTTTTTAAAAATTATCAATTTAGCAGCAACAGGTAAATTCGTTATCTTAAAAAATATGGGAGAAGGATTAAGCTTTATAAGAGCTCTATCATGGATTCATTTGAAATTGTGTGTAATTTAATGGGAGAGTGTTTGGTGTATATAAATGGGAATGCCATCACTTTGTTCCTTTCCATTTAAGACTGAACTGAAATCTCCCCTAATAATTTTAATTGTTTTTAGAGGAACCCTTCTCCCTGTCTCCCCAACCCCAGCAACAAAAGAAAGGAAGAAAGAAACAACAGCTTAAAAAAAAAGTAATTCTAATCTGTAAAGTAGTACGGTTGGATTGCTGAGAATCTATGTAAAGAGTTAGGAAATAGAGGTTAATAATTTTTGGAACAAATTTTAAATATAGGCATTACTAGAGGAAAAAATATCTATGGACTGTTAATGAAGAATGTCTTACCTCCATTTGTTGTGGGAGGAGGAGAAAATAATGGAAGCATCTAATAAGGAACAAGTGGTTTGACTTTTTTAGCTCCCAGCTGCTGTAGTGCCCATTTTCATTGCTGTTTTGAAGACCTGCTGCTTAATTATCCCCATCCCTCTGCCGGAGATGTGGAGTATTTCCTTTCAGTTTTTGGTGATGTCGAATTCTCCTTTTGTATTCCCTCCTGGGGCCGGGGGTCAGAATTCCCAAGCATGACCACAGCTTCTTATAAACATCTAAGCTTCCCAGTGGGAAAGAAACTCCAGCTCGACAGGTAAAGGGAGTGGGTGGGGTTGCTGCCTGCAATTTCTCTAAAACCGCTTTAGTGCCTTCAAACATACACCCAGACATCCTAAGCAGGGGGAACACGTGTGTATGTGCATGTGCTCCAGTCACTCCACAGACATTAAATGCTTGCCCATTAAGGAAATTGGAGTGGTTCTGGACAGGCCCCAAAGGCAGTGGGCTAAATTTAAAATAAATCTATAGACAGAAATCAAGGAAGTTAACATGCTTTTCTGTCTCAATAATGTGGAATGCCAAGTTCCTTCCTTGTGTCGTTGCCCTCATTACTGTGCATTGACTCTCCAGCTGTGTCACTGGGACAACTACAGTGAGTTGAAAGTGTGTTGGGCCAGTAGAAAGGGGTTCCTATTTTTCTGCTCTTGTCCTCCTTTATCTCCTCCCTTTTCCCCCAACCCCTGCCCCTTTTTTGTCAACTTGCTGGAAGCTTTGCTTTATTGGTTAGCACTGACCTAAGAATAGGATACAGTGAGGATGTAATGGAAGAAAAAAGCTCTTCTTTCCATGCTGTTCTTTGGCAAGAGCCATGTCTGCTGAGAGATTAGGTGGCTTCAATCCACTTAGAAAATTTGGTGGGCACATCTTCTCTCCCACCACAGTCTGGCATGTGGACAGAGGCTTGCTGGTCACCTCTCATTATGTAGATTTATTTTATAAACATTTTGGTCATGTAAATTTGAGCTTTCCATTTTTTACTAGTTTCCTTTGTTTTTTTAAACATTTGATTAGTAGTGGCTAGCGGTGTCCGTCTCTCAAACATCGCGAACTTGGTTTCTGTCTACCACATGAGTAGCCAAAAGAAAAGAACCACTGGTGGGGGAGTGCTGTTTTCCATTAGGCTGGGGACCTCTGCTGGCAGTGGGGATCCAGTGCCATGACCTAATCTTAGGTGTTGGGCAAAAAACAAAGTTCAGATCTCTGAGACACTGTGAAGAAATTGATGGCACATGTGGCATCTCTGATCCCTCAGTCCCTAGCCCTTGATATTTTTCATTTTCAACATTCACAGAAGTTGACTTAGTGCTGCAAGTTAAGGTTCCAAACCAAATTCTTTCATCATTGTCCCCCAGTAAATCAGCATTATCCATTGATTTGCCATTCAATTAGTTTTATTCATAAAAGCTTGATTTTGTATTCCTATGGCTCCTGTTCCAAGAACTTTCCCACCTCTTCTGACATGAATGTAGCATAAGTTAGCAGTTGGTTCTTCCAAGTTCCTGTGGGTTGAATGTGGTATATAAGATATGCGAAAAAAAGAAAGAAAAAAGAACGGAAAAGAAATTCCTGCCTCAGAATTTGGAAGAGCTTTTATTAATATATCTAGCAGAAACTAAAATTTCACAGGCTATTAACTTGTTGCAAATATTCACTCACTTTCACCACTTTTTTGGGGGGAGGGGGGCAGTTTTTGTAGGGTTACCAGCCAGATTCCATATTGACCTCAGATGCTGTGTACTTTTTAATTTTATTTTTTATATTCTGCCATCTTGACTCTTCTCTTAAACAGAATGAAGATGTCTGTGTGCTGAGCAAAACACTTTAAGCCAAGCCTGTTTTCCTCTGCAGTGTAAACAGGATGTTTTCAGCAGACTTGGCTGTAATTGCCATCTCTAAGATTAGGGAACAATGGAGTCTTTATGTAGAAGAGGTCCCCTTCTCCCCCGTCCTCAGAGTTCAAATTCAACATATAACCCCTTGTAGGTTATTGTTTTGGGTTTGGGTTTTTTCCTTTTGTTTTCGTTATCTATAAGGTCTTGAGGAGTAGAGATACATTTTTAGCTGGTTAAAAAAAATTAGCCTTTTTCTTCTCCAGTGTTTTGGCAAGTTTTGTCACACTTCGTGTCTATGCATTAACTATACTTCTTAGTGTTACCGCAAAAAGAAATCTTATTCTTTAATTGTTCTCCCTCCTGTGAGTGCACAGCCAAGGCTTCATGTAATAGCGCAGGTGAAAATCTTCTAGCCTGTGTGTGTACAATGAACTGTCAATCTTTAGACCTCACCAGTCATTGAGAAGAGGGTGCCCTCACCCTTTGCTGCACATTATGCCACACCCCCTCTGCTTTCTTATCTGCAAGTACAGGGTGTCCACACAATCCAGAAACAGTCAAATATACATGATGTTGTCAAGGACATTGTCAAGCTGTTTAAAAACATAGAATATTATCTGTATTTCCAGAGTGAGTGCATACCCTGGAATAAGGTCTGTAGATTTGTGGCCAGTGCCAAAAGTGTGTGTATTTTCAGAGATGGTCCCCATTTGTCAATGATGGTGTCATTTTCTTGACCTTAAATTTGACAAAGGAGGTGCTGGCATCACATTCTTTAGATCTGAAATAATTATCAACTTCAAGAATCTATGAACAGAATCATAACTTAATAAAAATTGAACTTTGACTCCCTACCCTGCCCACAACGCCTCTCCGCCGCCCGCACCAACAAAGAAAAGAGGCCGTGAACATCTGCAGGATGCTGAAGGGCACACTGGTCAGGAAGCAGAGAGCTCCTCTCCACCGCTGGGCATCCATGCCATCCTCACACTGACGGTCACTTGGACTAGATCTGGAGTAATTACCAAGTATTCTAACATTTGAGTGGTCTTTAAACTGTCAATCTCTTGTAGTAAACTCCTACCACCACCCAAAAAAAGCGAAAGTGACAGAAACTGCCAGTGTTTGCCTCACAGAATTTAAATAGTTCCCTTTTCAGTTCGCTATACATCTGACTTTGTTTTTAATGAGCAACTATGCACACCAGGGAAAATGGTGCGGCCCTGCCCGAAGGGTCTGTGCAAGACTGAGTCGTGGGCTCTTCATTGTGGCAAATACTTGTTTTGTTCATGGGAGGGGAAAGGTCAGATAAAGGCAAGAGGTGTTCTGTTCTAAGTAAAAAAGAAATAGTGTTTCCCTAAGCACTTTGTGCCTCAGTTTCATTTTCAAACTATAAATCATTGATTTGGAGGTAAATTCCCAATTGTAATTGACCCATTTTGAGCCAATATTAATGTTAGCATTTTTGTCAAAAAGTGAAATGCCTCTTTACTGCTAAATGGTGAGCAGCAAAAGAGAAGTGGTGAAGGCAGCGTCCAGTGCTGCTGTAGCAGAGCTGGGAGACACAGCGCTCTTCCGCCCCTCTCCTGCCCGGCTCTCCTGGACCTCTTACTGACTCTGCCGTTCCTTCTCCTTGGGCTGCTGAAAGGTGTGCACAGTTCTCAGAGGGCTGGGGTGGAAGAGGTGACGAGGTGAGAGGGAGCAGCCTTCCTGCAGGACTAGCCTTACGGCAGAGCTTCACGGAAAGGAAGATAGTATATCCTAAAGGTGTTCGCCAAAAATGAGAAAGGAGGGTATTTATACAGAACAAAGCAAAAGCTCGGGAACCCTTCAAGAAGTGACACACCTTTTAAAGGTGGTATATTCTCCTCAAGCGATGCACTCGGCATGGATTCTTCCTGCCAGAAATTTTGGGATGTTAGAATAAATGTGTTTAAAACACCACCCCACCCCCCCTTTTTAATTTTGTCCAAGGAATAAATTACTTAATTGTAATATTTCTGAATGTGCCTTTGTGAGTACAGAGACCATCTCTTTTAGGAAGGAGCTATCCTAAGTGGGATAAAACAGAAAGATGGTCAGCTTAGTGTCTAGGGAAGTCAGCGTTTCTCCTGGCGGTCCCCAGGGGCAGCTGGTGAGTTTTTGTTAGAATCCATATTGCACAGTGGAGAGTTGTCTGGAAGAGATTCTGGGGCTTGGGAGAGGGGACAGTGAGGTGCACAGATGTCAGAGACCCAGGTTAGTCCAAGAGTGCAGGTTGAATTTATCTATCTGCATTGCCTAGTTTTCTTCGTGTATATGTGTGTGTGTGCGTGTGGCTGTCTTATTTTTTGTTTTTCTGTAAGCACTGGAGAATTGAAATATGGTGATGTTTGTGACACATTCATGCATGTCAAGAAGTCGTCTTATGGCTTCTGCTGTGTGCAGGGGGCAGCGCATTTCCACCCTCTGTCTGTGTCCTGAGAAGGCAATTATTTTCCCAAATGGAAGTCACATAATGTTGCTGTTTATGCGAACAGGGTATATCACACACAAGGAAAAAGCTTTTGAAAGAATAAGATTGAAGTGTTTGAGAAAGAAAAGAGAAAAATCTGAAATCGTATTTTATTTCTTCAGAACTATTATAAACATAGAAATCTGCAGTGTCTCTTCATTTGTTTTTATATTTGTTTTAAACAATTCCACCTCTTCTCCCCACTCCCTATCTTCTAAAGAAATATCAAGTGAATGCTAAGGGCCATTTCCAGAATTCCTCAGAACTCCCCAAAGAGGAAAACAGTCCCTCCCACGAGATTCCTCCAGCTTCCTTCAGCTTCCTTCAGGAAGACAAGGGAGGAGAGATGCTGCCGCTTTCCGTGCTTCGCTCTCATTCCTCTCTCATGGCCTTGAAATGTATTATTATGCAAATGTGAATTTTGATACTGAATTTAAGAAGAGGTTGTTGGATTTTTTTTTCCTTTTTCAAAAAAAAAGGTCCCATATGCGGTCATCATTGCTTCTTTATTTTGTAACGTGAATTGTAACTATGCATTCTGCAAAGGGGGGGAGGAGAGGGCAGAAAGGGGAAGGAAGTAGCTTTGCATCCTTGTTCTGCGGTTTCTGTGTCCATGGTGCCCCCATGTCCTGGCGGGGAAGGGAGTGAAGAGCAAGAAGCAGTAAGGTCGCCACAGTGCGGTAGACAGAGACCTCTGAGGCCTCCGGTGGTCGCCGGCACGCCTGATGGCCCGGCAAGTCCCTGGGGGCCTGCAGTTCCTATCAGCCAACATGGTACAGGACTCTCCTCCCAGCCGTGCAGTGTTAACCAGTGCAACAGTGGGGTCCCAAAGGCTCCAGTGTTCTCTGGAAAAAAGTACTCATCCTTTCCTGAATTCAGAACCCTTTCAAGCTCAGGAAACCATGCCTCACTCGTGCTGACCTTAAAGTTAATCTTGATGTCAATTTCAAAAACTCCTCCTCCTCCTCGCTCCTGTTGAATTTTTCTTTCTTCTTTCTTAATCGTTTTTAGTGACCTTAGTTGTAAGGAAACTGTCTTGCTCTATGGGGAAGAGGACTGTTGCTTGGCAGGCAAAAAAGGATTCTCTTCCCCATCCACTACCCCCCAGCCAAATGTCATCTCTGCTTCCCTTGCATTTATTAAGCTCTATATAGTGGGCAAGCAGTGAGGTGTTTGACACGGGAACGCCTACAGCCTCTTCTTTGTCCTAACAGAATTCCTTTGTCGATCTTGCCTGTGGTGAGTCATGGCACCTGCATTGCTCTGGTCTAGGCGTCATTTGCAACACACAATGTCGTAAGCGAGAGATTTTTCTGCCCATATCCAGTGTTTCCATGCAGAAGTTTTTGTTGATGTCACAGTACTGTAACGAGTAACAGACTTGATCATAGTCTCCTCGTGCCCGTGCAAGGCTGCGCAGGCTCGATCTTATCAGGGTTCCAATCTGTTAGATTGCCTTTAGACAAAAAAACAAAACAAACAAACAAAAAAAATCCTGACGTTTCAACTGTCTAACACAAAACAATACCTCGAGGTACATTTCCCCTGCAATGTAGACCCTTAACTCCCCTCTCCTTTTCTGACATCAGTGGGTTATCCTTTTTAAAATATGAATGTGTAAATAGCAGGATAACTTTTACAATTTTTTCTTTGCTGTGAAAGTAACCCTAAAATATGTTATTCTCCATTGTTTTGAAGCCATCAGAAGTTCCATATCTTATTCTTTCATGTTTAAAACAAGAAAGCAGAACAGGTCAGGGGAGTGGACTTGCATCTGTAGGGTGGTGTTCTCTCCATTGCCTCCCAAACTCGGTGACAGCAGACCAGTGTCTAAACCCTGTTGAACAGATGCTGTCTAGTCCAGCTCTAGTTCCAGGGTGAGAGTGAATTTCTTTCTTCCGGAAGATCCATCCCCTCCAGGACTCCAGAATGTTTTCTGCGTGAGACCTTGAGTTCCCAACTTCTCTTGGCTCACAGACATACACACACACACACACACACACACACACTTTGAATAACTGAGTAGCATTCTGTAGTTCACAAAGGGAATTAGTCTCTGGCATTTCAGTTTGGCGCTGTAGAATTCATAGCCTTGTCACTTTGTTATGCTCTGGAAATGTATCAGTTTCTCACTTAGGAGGAAACTCACCTGAGACGTGTAAACAACTGCCCTGAAAGGCCAGTGCATCCTCAGACGTCCCTCCCTCCGTGAGGCTCAAAGCTGACGTTAGGTGGCGGGAAATAAGTTTAACAGATGCTGCTGATAGGGGTCTGTCAGCTACAGCTCTCCTAGATTTGGCCCCCCTGAGGCAGGGTCAGAGTGGCCATGTTGAATAGCTTCTTCATAAACACCCCTTTTACCCCCATCTTGAAGATGAACCCTCTGTCTGTCAAGAAGCCCTTTAGTTTGAGCTCACCAATCTTGTATAGTGACGACTTCCTCTGAGGGAAAGAAGCTTGATAATAAGTGCACGCGTATTCACCACCCACCTTCTTATTTGGGCGCTGTTGACCTTCAGATTTTATTTCTGTTGTTTGTTTGGAGGCCCCTTTTATATCAGTCTCCTTTCTCCGATCCCTCATACGTTCTTCCTGACCATATATCCCTTACAACGCTCCCAAAGGGCTTTGGTGATCTCTGCACTTCTTTCCTGGGACACTCCCCCACTACCACTCTTTGCACACACCAGTGACCAAAGTGTGTCCAGTGATCTCACAGAAGACATCAAAAATGGTGCACGCACCATGAATGTGCTCACAGAGACACGTGCACAAGATTCTGCACCCTTGGCCTTAACCTCAGTGTGACTTACGGTGCAGGAACATTTTTAACAGGTTTTAAAAAAACAAAAAAACCCTTCTGGGAGGAAAAAAAAAAGAAAGACGCAACAGCTCAACTGTGCCCACTCCTAACTCTCCACTGTTTGCTTCCAACTTATTCTGTGCCCACCCCATCCCATCCCTATTTTGAGTAACCAAAAACAGAAAACAAAAGCAACCTGAGGAGATGTTTCTGGACTATTTTATCTTCCTCCATTTAGATGGAGATATAAATGCTGCTTTGGGTTCCATAATCCTAGGGGGCTATGTTTACATAGTAAAATACATCCTACCAAATCAGGAAACTGAATAATGGGAATCTCTGCAGTGAGAGTTAGGTCACTGATGGTGAACAAGAGAAGTGAGGGGACATGGGGGTTGGGGCAGAGGAGGAGAGACGGAGAAGTAGCATTTTCATGACTTGGGACGTGTCTCTCCCTTCCTCCTTTCTCCCCCCTTCACTTCTCTCCTTGCCCCTTTAAACAGAAGGTGCAGAGAAGGGCATCAGAAAGAGGCTGGATTTTTAAAAGGCAGCTTTCCAACTTTGCACACAAACAGGTAACAGGAAGGTACAGCGAAAATCCTCTCATCCGAAACAGCAGAAACAAAACCTGTAACATGACGAAACAGCTGCACATATCGATGCTCTCTGCAAGTTACCTAGAAGTGTTTTGTTTTTCTTATACTTGAAATAGCTTTTACAATATTGTTTTGGTGGCTTTCTTTTCTCTCTTCTGATGGGCAGTAGAGAAAGTGGATGATGGGACTTAAGAAAGTTTGAGGGGAGAAAAGGGAGGGTTTGGCATTGTCTTTTTTTTTTTTTTTTTTTCTTAAACATAGAGGTTTAATCAAACTCCCATATGTTGAATTTGCTCCTCATATTACTGGTTTTACATGGACACAGAAACTAGGCACTTTAGAGGTGCACTTGCATGGCAGGCTGGGCCCCCCTTTTCTGTATTTTATTTTACTTTTTTAGTATAGTGGTACTTAAAATCACTGGTTCACTTAAAAAACAAACAATAAAATGTTAAACTCTACTAATGTACAAATAAGCTGAAAAGTTGCATTTTATGTGTATTTTTTGCCATAGCAGGTACTGTATTTCTCATGCTGGATTTCAAAAAAAAAAAAATCAAAAACAAAAAAAACTAAAGGGTGGTGTTTTATTGGATTGTGACAGGTCGAGTAGTAAGGGATTAAGTCGCCGCCATTTCATTAAACTGAGAGATGATGTAATGCAGATATAAGAGTTTTCTGAAGGGTTTTTTTGGGCTTTTAAACAGCTTATTTTTGTTTTTGTTTAGTTTTTTATTTTATTTTATTTTGGAAAGATATGATTGTATTATGTGCAACTCAGTTGCTTACATTATAACTACAAAATATTTTTGGGTTCCTGGAAAAAAAAAAGAAAAAAGACTAATAAATGTGTTTGGCTGCTAAGCATTTATTGTGGTTTCCTGTTTTATTCTGCTAATTGAATTTGCTCATTTGTTGAATGTTTATATTTTGTCTACTCTTCTCTCTCTCCCTGCTCCACACATAAAAGCTGTCCGAAATTCAACACTGGAATGGGGCCTCAACTTTGTCTATCTCGTCTTATGTTTTTGTTGTTGGGGTTGTGCTCCTCACTGCCAGCCGCAGGGCACGGTTCAAATTCTCTGAAAGAAGTTGATGTCCTCCTTCTGCCTTTTGTTGTTGTCTTGTTTAATCCTTATTTGCATTTGGAGGGAGAGGAGAGGAGAGAAGAGAGAAGATGCCTGCCTGGGACTGCTGCATCCCAGGAGATAACCGGCAAGCTAGCTCTGTCCGGAAAACACCTGCCCGGCGCTCCTGGCCCACACTGAGCGCTGCCACGCTGCTGGGGAGCATTAGAGCTGGACCGTGAAGGCGAAGTTTCCCCCATCTAAACAGTTTCTTATTTACTGTTAGCTGCTAAAATAGAGACTTGTAGACATGTGATCATGAAATACCTCTAGAATGGCAAAGGCAAGAATGGAAGGAAGCTAACATTTTCTCATTCCCAAGTACTGTTGTATCTGACTTAATTCTCAGAAGGCTATGTGAAGTAGCAGCAAACCCATTCCCTGAGGAAACTCGTGGCTCCGAATAATTACTATGAGCTGGGCACTCCTCTAAGCATGCCGTAGATACTCACTCATGTAACTGAAACTTGCCTCAGTCACTGGCAAAACTGTAATAGAAACCCAGACGGGATTCAAAAGTTACCGTGCTAAAATGCCCCTGCTGAAAATGCCTGGATTTCTGAGAAAATGCTCTTAAGCAAGTCTGTTGCACAGTCATAGGCCATATACCATCCAATTCTGTTTACTCATAAAACGAGTAAACACTGGGAAATGTGAGATGGGAAGAGATGAACTAGATGTTCAGAAACGCCTCGACGACCTGCCTATGACGAGTAAGTGCTGTTGCTGAGAAATAGAGATGATTGCAAAAACTATGAAGATCTTTATCACCGAAGGCTTTATTTTAAATTTTGGATATTTAAAAAATGTATAAATGGCTGGCGGGGAGGGGTGCTGTAGAATTAAAGCTGGTGGTGAAGACTTCAGCATCTGACTCAGCCTTCCTCACGGCTTTGTGCCCTGCCGTCACCTTAGGTGACTTCAGTGTCCACGTGGAAAATCTGTCCTAACAGCCAGTCTTCTGCTCCTTCCTCCAGTCCCCTCAGCTACGCACTCCTGTACACAAAATTGCCCCCCTCCAGAACCACCAGTTTCGGCATCCTTGACCTCCTGTCCTCCCAAATGATTCTCACTCTTCTTTGGCTGCATTTTGATGTCATCAGCCACTCCAGGACACTGACCTGTTTACTTTCTAACAGCCCCTCAGCCCTCTCCTTTTTCTCGCTTCCTTTCTAATCCAGTTTAGATTTTATAGCCCATAATTTCAATGACATAGCTGCTAATACCTATAAATTCCCTTGCCCCTCTTGTTTTCTTGACACGTACATGACAAAAGCCCCAGTTTGGAAAAAAACCTATTTTCTGTGTTCCACCGGCACCCAAAAGCAGCATTGCTAGAAAAAATGTCACTACAGGGCAAATAAGGACTCGTAATCTACTGTAACCAACCAGTAATGAGACCTTGACACCGTGCAGCAAGCATACTGTGCCCCCTAATACGTCGAGAAAATTAGAGGAATCTGAAAAATTCCCCTAAGTTCCTGCTTCCAGACTATAGACAGGGAGAGGTGCTTCCCCTTCAAGTGCTGGGTCCTTCAGTGCTTGGGATCCTTTCTCTTCCTGCCCCCTTGGGTACTTTTTAACTCTCTTAAGCCATTCTCCACATGTTCAGCTGGGGCCCTTGCCATTCAACGTGCTCATGTCCATCTGGGTAAAATTCCTTCTCTGGGCCCATGTTCCAGCCCCTGCCTTGCCAGCGACTGTCCCATTTTCCCCCTCGAGAAATTTTCTCTCCTCCCCATCCTGGGTCTCTTCCAATCTGGTTTCTGCCTCTATCATTCCCCTAAAAGAGCTGTCTGTAAGGTCACTAACAACCTCTCTAGTCCAGTGGACATGACCACTCCAACCCTGGCCTTTCTAATCTGTCTATCCAACTAATTCATTGCCTTTCTACTTCTAAGTCTACTGGACAGATCCCTCCACCTTCCTTGTCAAGTCTACTTCCCCAGTCTGTTCCATCTCGGTAAATGGCACCACCTCATTGTTCAAACCCACAGCTCCTTCACACCGCTTATTTGGCCCATCAGGAAGTCCTGTCAGCTCTCCACTAAACATATATCCACAGACGGTCCACATCTCTCAGGTCTCACCGTGACCAACTCAGGTCTAGCCACCCTACGTGCTCACCTAGACCACTGCAGTAGCTTCCCCATAACTCCACCCCAGACTGTTCTCTGTTTGTTCGTGTCACTACCCTCCAATGGATTCTCCTTACAATTGAAATCCGAACTCCATGCCATGGTCCATAAACCCCACGCAAATCCCCCATGAGATCTCATTCCCTCTGACTGTTCACGTCACTTTCTAAAATTACCTTGTTTTTTCTTTATTATCCATCTCCCTCACTGGGGTGTAAACAACAAAAAAGGCCGAATTCTTTTCTGTGTTGTTCATCAGCTCCAGGGCCTAAAACCCCTATGGTTTTAATTACCATCTATATGCTAATGACTGCTAAATTTATGTTTCTAACCCTTACCACTGAATTCCAAACCTGTACATATAATTGTCTGTTCAACATTTCAAAACACCTGGATATGTTAACAGCACTGCAAACTCAAATCCAAAGTATAAGTCCATCCTGCCTGCTTGCCCCTCATCCCATGGGGTACCATTTACCTTATGGTAAATGGCATTACCATCCATTCAGTGATAAAATCTAGAAACCTAGGAACATCCTGGACTCCACCCACTCCCTTACTTCCCATAACTAATCCATCACCAAGCTGGATTGATTGTATCTCTTAAATTAATCTCTTCCTTTTCTTCATTTCCTCTGCTACTTCCCTTGTCGATCACCCACACCGCCAGGTCTTACCTAGCCCACGTCATTAGCCCAACTGGTTTCTCACTTGGCATTCACTCCTGTTCCCCTGCCCCCAATCCATTCTATACATAACAGCTGGGATGATATTTTTCATAACAAATCTCATGAAGTCATCCTCCAGCTCAAAGCTTTTTAGTGGCTTTCCATTGCTTAGAATAAAATCCCCAAATATCCTTATTTTCAAAGATGAGGTTCTCATGGTCTGGCTTCCATCTATTTCTCCAAATTTACCTCCCTCTCTTCTCACCGGTGTCCTCTCCACTCCAGCCTCATCAGCTGACTCTCGTATCCCACTGCTTGGTACTATGCCTGGCAGTCGGTGTGGACCATTGTGGAATGAATGATCCTGATGGGTAACGGGATGTTACATCAAGCATTTAAGAAACTAGGTATTTTAAAAGCCTGAAATAAACACAGAAGGATAGTTACAAAAGAGAAAATAAAACAATCAGAAGACCTGTTCACACATTTAGGGCAAAAAGAGATACAAAAGTAAAACTCCCAATTTAGAGATGTTGCTTTAGGAACAGTGACAACCAGCTACAAGTGTCTAGATGGCCTTTGGAGATCAAGAAGCAAAACTCTGGAGAACCTGAGGACTCAGAAGGTAAGCCTTGCAGATGTGCAAGCAGTTTCCAAGGGGAGGCATGGGGGTTAGGTCTTAGGAAACTCCTACTGCTCCCTTTTCCAGGAGTGAGTGGAGGAAGGGTCATCAAAGAAAGTCAGAAAAGGAGGAGAAATAGTACAGTTTAGTTTTCAAAGCAGGAGGGAGGGGTTGTCAAAAATGCTAAAAACTTCCGTCAGCCAGGAGCGATGATTTAGTACAGGAAAAAAGAAAAACTATTTGGCTCAAAAATCAAAATGATATAAAGATGTACATTGGGAAGTTTGCTCCCAGTTCTTTCCCTGCCTATCCTATTCCCTGCGTGTCCCCGCCCCCCCACCCCCACCCTGCCACACACACGGACTTTCTTAGTGATTCTTTATGTAAATATAGGCAAGCAAATATATATTATGGGAAAGGGCCTTTTCATTTGTTTATTAGAGCAAGTTATTGGTGATCAATGAGAGTGTGATTTGGAGGTCACGAGAAAGGGCAGACATTGCATCGCAGTGCTAAGGAATAAAGCAGGGAGGGGAAGGAATTTGTTGAATACAGGAGTCCTGGACACCGAGCTAGGGAGTCAGCATCTATTCCTGCCTTTGCTCCTGACTACACCTGGGGGTCATCAGCCACATTCACAGGTGAGAAGACCAAGTGCCAAAAGATGAACTAATTGCCCAAGTCACACAACTAATAACTGGCAGTGCCAGGAGTGGTTGGTGAAGAGGCAGCCAGAAACAGGTTTCCATGTTAAGGAGATACCAGAGCAAGTGAAGATGTTTCTATAGTGAAAAGAACCTGTGCATTTAAAAAAAAAAAATCAGAGGAGAAGGGAGGCATAACTGAAGAGATTAAAAATTTCAGATAAAATAATTGAAAGAACAAGAACCTTTCCTGAAAGAAGAAAGAGAAGACTGGTGGCAGAAACTCCTATTTTGAGGAGGAAAACAGCAAAGTGAAGCAGAGGCAGGAGAGAGGGCTGGAAGACTGAAACAGCTGAGTTTGCAGTAGTCACGGTGGAAAGTGAGAACAGTGAACTCGGCACATCAAAGCAAGGACATGCCTGAAGCAGTCTGCAAAGAGTGGGAAGTTGCAGGGAGTAAATTCTTCGTCTTTCCAGAATTGTCTGCCCTCAAACCCAAAACCAATTCTCTGCAGCTCAAGATGGGAGGAGGAAGACCTAGGTGGCGAGCCCAGCTGACTGATGGGCTTCGATGACCAAGGCTTCTGGAATTGGTGCTGCAGTCAGTTCAGACTGCTAATTCTGGAGTCCAGGTGGAGACATGAAGGATCCATGGAATTAGAACACTGA